GCGTGTTCATTAGTCGGCCTTAAAACGCACACACTTCCAAAATGGCGACCATATCGCCACACCGCCTCGAAGCCAACTTATAAATTGAGCAACCAAAAGCAAATCTTGAAAGTGACACAAATCGCCCGGATCGCAGGTGGCGATTGCTCAGATTCATTCGGTGAGATCAGCACTAGTTCCCAGGAGCCCAATCAGATCAGCACATGGTCTTGGGAAAAGGTTAATTTAGTTAGTTGGTAGCTTATTTGAATAGAAAACTTATGGGTGTCTTCTTAAAATTTTTAAATTTTAGAATTACATTTTTGTTGAACAATCAGAAAACTGAAATATAAATTTGCAAAATTCTCAATGTCAACTTTTAATAAATGGCTAATGACGGTAACTGACAAGCATTATGAATGCCTAATCACCTAATCAATATACTAGAATTTGCCTAATCACCGATTATTAAACGAGAACTACTTGAAGGGTATTCGTATAATAGGATTTTGTACTTTTTTAAACGCCTTAGAAGGTTTACCAGAGTAAATTTAAGAATTTTTACATGAATAAAATATTAAAAATAAGAATTAAGGCTGTTTAATCGAAATATAAGAACAATCTTGCTGGGTTTTCTTTCAGACAGCCTTTTGCCAAGTTTATAAAAATGAAACTTGAACTCTGCCATTAAATACATTTATGGAATTTGCACCTGGACACCATGGAAGTGTCTGAAAGTTTTTTTCCCCGAAATCGGAGGCTCTGCATGTCGTCAGCTTGGAGGCATCTTTAGCTTCAGCAACTTCTCCCGTTACCGCTGCTCTTGCTCCATTTGCCGCATGTTGAACAAGTGCTTGGAACTTAGAGTAGAGTTATCTGCGGAGCTGCAGTTTCAGTGGCTTCAGTACCGCTGCCGAGTGACAGGCGGTGGCTACCAGCGGGCAGCATGAAATTCGATACGCCATTTGCTGCTCCGTCTAATCCCGATTGCGTTTGCGATTCTGGATGCACTGCCCACTCTGGGCTGGCATTTTCCAATTAACTTCGCATTAGCCACCGCCCAAAGTTAAGTTCTTAAGACTTGAGTCGAGTGTTTATTCATATTTCCCTGCTGCCGGCTGTCAGTTGGGGCCATGTAACGTCATCCGGGAACATGACAGACGCGGGCTAATCCCGCAGCAGCAGCAGTCGACGCAACCAGCAACAGCCACACCAGCATTTGGCCAAGTAAAATTATTAACGCCATTAACGGCAATAGAAATATTTGTGCAGGCCGCCCGAAGGCCCGTAAGCCCCCTCGAATCCCGATCTTACCCCTCCCAAATGATATCCAAACGGGTTCTGCAGAGGAAGAGGAGAAAATTACAAGTCATGGCTACAAGCGCCTGCGACTGTGGCCCACAAATGTGACTAATGGCATTTCTGAATGCAGATTCAGCCGGTGGATAGTCCATTGGTGCCAAAGGGGGGCGATGCAGCCAACTCCTTTGCAGTTCTTTAAGTTTATAGGCAACAATTTTTAACGCCTTGCCAGGGAGACCAATGTTACACTTGCAAAAAAATATGATCAGCTTACAACATTGTATTAAAACGAAGTACTTTATCAGAGATCTTATTACACTAAGGCTAAAATATTAAAGAAACTTAACATTATATGCAAGCGAAGGATCTACCATGATTAACCTATTTAATTTGAAGAATACTAAACCTTATCCTAGATGTACAATAGTTTAAACTACTTAAGTTTCTATAAAATAGACTAAATAAATTTAAATATAATTTAAACATTACCCATCGAGTTTTCTTACTGTGCAGCAGATTCCGTGTGCGTGTGCTTTTCTGCAGCGTCATTAATTTTGCCATGAATTGACAAAAACATCATAAACTACTTGTTGAACAGAAAATCCACTTCGGGCGACAGCATCCCAGCATCTCGGCAATCCAGCCCACGCGCCAATGGAGCCAATATAAGTCGGGAAAGTAGGGGATCGGGAGTTGGTATCGGCAGTTAAGGAGTTTTGAGAGGTGGAGATGGGAGATGGAAGATTGGAGACTGTTGCCGCCCGGCAGGCTCATGTTCGACGCTCCGTCTGTGGGGAGCGGCTGCCTCATAAATATGCCAATGACTTGGGCCCCTATCCGATGATCCCCTTGGCCGTCTTATAAGTGACCTGCAGCTGGAGGGCTTATACCAAATTAATGAGTCCAAAGAATGCAATCATCTCCTGATCATCGTGCTGCGATTTCGTGAAGGAGTGGTAAATTGGTCGAACCTATAACAGTAACTTACATACTGATGGGGTATCGAAGTTCCACCTTCTTTTTCAGAGGAAATGCATCTTATATTCCCAATGATAGTCATAAAGATTTTAATAGGAAATAGCGGTAAAAGTAATCACGAATTTTAATGAAGTTGCAAATTTATGAGACACTTAACATGAGATAGATTTTAGACCTCTCATGAAATGAAAATCATGTAATCAATCTGCTCTTAAGATGGCAATTTACATACTTGAAGGATCCAGAATAGATTCCCAGTTTTCCCACATCTCAGACTTGCCCTCTTTCTGCTGACCCACACGGCGTATGCTCAATGTTAATTAACTTAATGATAGCTGGAAGAAACAAACGCAGCACAATTTAAGCCAACAAACATTTACAAACAGGCAACAGCAATTGGATGTTTAATGGATAGCGAGCTCCAATCAATACCCTTACCCCCGATCCTCTCATGAATCGCTTCTCGAAAAACAAGTAGCCGACAGAGTGCCGGCCAAAAGGTAAATCGAAGCCGAGATTAATAGCGATAAGGCTATTGATTAGCATTTTAGCCACTGCCATTAGATGGAGGAGCTCTAACCGAGGAGGCAGCAAAAATATCTGTGTCCGTTGTAGATGCTATCGCCATCGCCTATGGACGTGGAGAGGAGGCGGGATCTCGCTAGATCGTAAGGTGTTGCAGGCATGCGATGGGGAGATAATTCAAGCGGATGCTAAGCCAAAAAACCAGACTCCTTTACCTGATTGAAAATTAAGCGCATGCCGGCAATTTGCATAAAAGCAGTTTAATGTTTAAATGTTTTATTGAATCGCGAGGCTCGATTACAAGATCAAGGGGGAGAAAGCAGAAATGGAGGCGACTCTAATTTGCAATGCAAATCCAGTGCTGCGACTAAACCATTTGAACTGAGCCCAATCTTAACCGATCCTCCAGATGCGATGTGGCTATTTGTAAGGAGCCATCACCGAAAGCCGGTTTTTTAATTATGAAAAAAATCGATAAGCTATCATGGAGAGAACGTGCTTGCTCCAAAAGTGGGAAACTCTGCTCCAAAACGCTGATCAGTTGTCAATCAAAGGCGACGCTGATGCTTCACACTCGAATCTGTAGGGGACACAGGGATGGAGGGGGGGACAGGTGGTCGGTGGACATGGAACCATCATCATTAGTCGCTGCCAAAGACATAGAGACACGTTTGATAGCAGCCGACGTGCAGCAGCAACAGTTGCAGGAACAGCTCTAATTGCGGAATGGCAGCTGCGATCTGAAGTCTAAAGTCTGGACCTCAAAGTTCTCCAACTCCGACTCCAACTCGAACTCGAAACCTTATCCAACTGTCAGCGGCACTCAGCGGCGCAAAGTGACGCCTGATCTTGAACTGGTTCTGTTGGCCGCCGATCGCTACGCGGTGGTCCACGGCCATCAGAATCCCAGACAGCCGCATATGCAAGTGGCTCCCGTCGCCGCACGATCATATCCAATCCAATCCAATCCATTTCCATTCGCATTCCCATTCCCTGTCGGCCTTTCCAATATTCCGATATTCCGAAACCGATGCCAACTTTTCGGGCCCTGCTGTGACCAAATTGCGTATCGAGTGATCACCAGATATCCAGAGTTTCGGGGTCCGCCGAGGTCTACCACATGCAGTGTCATTACTCGATTGGCGCAGGAAATCATAAATTAAATTCGATTGTTTGACAAGGCTCGCGAAATGTTTCCATTTGAGCCATAAGCGTCGCCCCACTCCATTGCAACTAACTACACGGGAGGAAATATATCACCAATAATTGTCATTTTTTTGGAGTAATTATCTATTTTTTAGATCTTACGAAGTCATTATTAATATCTTTTATTTAAAAAAGGCAATCTATTGTCCTTGTAGATCTAAAATAGAGTATACATTCTTTAAAAAAAATTTACATTTCAATCTAATTCAGTAAACGTTTCTTTCTGTGCCGGATCGGATATCGCTAGCTCTACAATTAGTACTACATGCAACTGCAACTGCATCTCCAGCGTCCATCGGACTCCGAGAGTCGGAGGATGGTTCCAAAACGGGCAAGTGGCCGGCTTGCAGTTCGTACATTCGTGTAATGTTGGGCAATGCTCCCCCCAAAATTGGCGTGCAGCGGAAAAATGAGACAACGTGATCCAAAGACTCTCCAGCGATCCAGCCACAGATTCCAGCTTCAGCTTCAGCTCCATGCAGCACGCACATAATTCATAAATGTTGCCACAGCTGGCGGGGATCGGTGGTATCTGCATCTGTATCAGTGTCTGCGGGTTTTGGGAGATTCATAGGCTGGCACGCACTTGGCTGCTTCACTCTTTGGTCCCCGATCAGACCGGACTCTAGTCTTTGGTCTCTCTGCTCGCCGCATTGGCCATCAACACCAATCGCCAAATGGCATTCGTGTGTGGCAAGTGACACACGAGGCGCTGCAGCACAGCTGGATGCGTTCTCCTCGTCCACTCGCATCTGGATCTTGGAACCAGGTGGATGTGGTGTGCCAACAATGCCTACAAATGGGGGCCATCCATCAGAGCTGGCAGAGGTGTCATTTTAGGATTCCCACAACCCGGAGCGGTAAGATCGGGATAAGTCGTAAAGTCATTAAATATAATCTTCACAATGAAAATGGAATTTTTATGTTGCTTAGTTGGGTTGATAGGCCAGTTCAGAAAGTTATTTTTTGAAAATTCACTCTTGTTCAACCCCAGAAAATAAAGCCTTTAATTTTGATAATGCAGTTAAGTTTATTGCTTCTCGTTTAGTTTAGCTTAGTTTCAGATTAGTTTATCTACGCACTAGACGACGTCGTTCGCTCGTTCGTTTACACTTTAAAACTTAGATTAATCACTAATAGCAGAATGGGTGGTCCTTAGCTCTACAAGTGGTTAGATCCACTCTGGCCGCTGCTATGAGCGGATGCTGCCCAAAAGCGGCGTGCTCTCGGCAGCCTTTGAGGTAATCACGGTATGGCGGGAGCCGGAACCACCGGCAGTCGACGGAGCATTCGGTGGACCAGGCGGCCAATGGCTTGGTCCTGGACGTTCATCCTCCGCCTCGTCGATGCGGGATTGACGCGCCTGGCGCCTCTGCTGGTTCAACTCGTGCAGATAAAGGGCACTCAGGCACATATCGGCCACACCCACGTTCAAGGGACTGCTGCCTACACGCGGATCCATGCCACAGAGTCCGTAGAGCAGGGTATCCGAAGGACCCTCCAAGCGACCTTCAGCCCGGCTGAGACGCAACCGGCGCATACTGTCCAGCGGTCCTACGCTGGCCGACAGATTCTGCTGCAACATCTGGCGGAAGTCGCTGGCTGCGACGGGAAATCCTCCAGACACGGGTCCCAGTCCCGGACGAAGCGATTGCGAGATCTCTAATTGCTGTGGCGTCACTTGGGCAGTCAGCACCGAGTTCGCAATGGAACAATAGTCCGCTCCCATAGTGCCAAACGAGATGAGGCTATTGGTTAGCGGATTCTCCTGCACCATTGAAGTCTTGGCTTGGACCAGCTCGCCCACAGCGTGCTCCCTGACGCCACGCAGGAACTGCTTGGCTTCTTTCGGCATTTGCCACTCGGGATTGTTGAGTGTGAAGCGCAGCAGCGACATCTCCGTCTTTCCGCCAGCCAAACTCTTCTGCTGCGGCTCTTGCTGCTGATGCGGCTGCTGAGCTCCAGGTCGGGTCATCTCCTCCAGTTCGCTGGTAAGCTGCCAGTCGGGATTGCCATGCTTGCGCACATCCATCTGGGCGAAGGAGCAAACGTTGCCCACTCCCCGCACTGATACGGTGAACGTCCTAAAGAAACGCACCAACTCAATGGCTTTTGGCCGGAACACGAAGATCAGCACGAAAGGTGTGACGAACGGACTGAAGATCTCGCTGAGTAAGTAGCCAGCCTTGAACTGGAAGAAGTTACTAAACTCCTGGCGAACTTTAGCAGTGTGCGCCTGCTGGCGCCACTCTGAGGGCAGGTAGTGAACGTGGGCCAGAATTGCGGTCATCAGTTGTTCCGGGCACCATATAAGGTTCTCATCGGGAATGAGAGTTCTGCAGACCACGCCTATGGCACCGAGCCCGGCGGTGATAAAGAGCACATGCTCCACTTGGAAGACGTGCTCTTCGTAAATACCCAATCCAAGGATGAGCAGCAGAAGACCTCCACTGATAAAAAGCAGGTTTTTGGCTATCACAGCGGCCAGTGGCGAGGAAAAGGAGTTAAGGTATCGATCGGCGTAGTCGTATGCTCGATTTAGTCTGGCATCCAATTCGTGATCCAGCTCGTTGAAATGACGCAGGTAGAGGCGACCGTAATTCGACCACGTTCGCAGCCCAAGGGCACCTGGCTCTTTACGCAAGATGTTTGCGTAGGAGAAACTGAAGTAGATAAGCTGCCAGACAAAGATCACAGGCGCCAGCAGTAAATTGAGGAGCGCCACTCCTAAGATTAACTTGGACAGGCGCTGCGCTAACTCCGTTTGATTGCTACGCACAGCAAATTCATCTCGCAGCTGCCAGTTGTTCTGGAAAGGAGATCCCGGGCCGCGAAACAGGATGAAATCAATGTTGAATAACATACCACGACTGAGCGATACAACTTCTCCGTACAGCGGTATGTGGAATCTCACAGGCAGCAGTTGCTTGTTCATCAGTGCCACCAGGTAGTTCTTGAAGCGGAGTACTCGATGATAGATGTCCAGTTCTGTAAGCGATTCCTTGTCGATGCACATGTGCTGCTCGGCTTGAACACGACGGATGCGCTGTTGCACCTCGTGCCAGGTGAAGTTATCCAGATCCGAGTCCTCAATGTGAAGTGCAGAGTTGTAGAATCTCTTAATGTCGGCGTACTGAGTGATGTGGTAGACCATTTTTAGCAGCCGGATGCCCATGTAAATGGCGGCTATGAACACAACCAGGTAGGTGAACCAGTTAAAGCTGGCTATGCACTCCCCTGTGGGAACCAACACATCGGATAAAGTGGTCTTGGTTGGGTTGTCACCCATGGGAAGGGTATCCCCGAAGAGTACGTCGAAACGGACGCAGTGCATCACAACAGTAAGTAGCCAGACGACGAAACCAAACTCCAGGACCTGTAGCATTTCGTCAATAACAATCACAGTAAAACCGTGCTTCTGCTGATACTGATACATCCGCGAGAAGAACGAATCTAGGTCCTCGATGTGGTTCCACCGCGCACGCCCCGTCTCCGGAACCATGTGAATCATGACGCCACTATTCCTAGGCGTGTCCTCACCCTCGTGCTCTGTGTCGGGCTCCTCCAGCGCGTGTTCCAAACCATGCTCACCGAGGGGGTCTAAATGCGCAGCAGCTGCGTTCGCTTTTGCGTCTTGTGTTTTTGTTGGGCCTTGGCCTGCGGAGGAATGATGCTCCAGGAACGGACTGGCCGCCTCCTCGGCCAGGGAGCGGTAGTTGATATGGGGGCTAGACATCGCCCAACGTCAAGGTCAACCGTGCTGCCTATTTATATCGCCGTATAGTATAAGTTGGAAAATTCTTTGTTGTTTGATTCTGCTGAACCTTCCCAGCGAACAGCTGTTTCTACATAACTTAGTGTTGGCCAACGAAAGAAATACTGGTAAAGTAATAAGTGAAGATGACTAGTGCAGTTTTTACTGCAGGCTGTTCACACTGCCAGTGCAGTAGGGAATTTATATGATAGGTTGTATAGTTTTCGTTTATGCTTTTCTTAGGCTAGAATGTACACATATATATTACAACTTTTCATTAATTGCAAAAAAAAATCAAAAAGAAAAACATTTTAAATCAAATAGTTCAAAATAAATATTAATGGCAATATTATATTAACAATTAATATTTTGTATATGACAATCTCTCGCTGCTATAAAAGATAAAGTAAGTCTGCACAAGAGTTGGCAGTTCCATCACACGTTTGTAAACAAATTTTGGTAAAGGAAATCCTCATATTTTAATTTAAAAACAGCCAAAATGGGTAAAAGACAGCATCAAAAAGATAAAATGTGAGTATTTTATACAGTTAAAAATCCATAAAACTCAAGTTAACCCCTTTCTTTAAAAGGTACCTCACGTACACAGAGTGGAGTGAGTTGTACGGCGGGAAAAAGGTAGAATCCTTGGAGAACGACCATGTCAAGTTCAAACGGCTGCCCTTTGAGCATTGCTGCATCACATTGGCCCCATACGAGATGCCTTACTGCGATCTACAGGGTAATGTCTTCGAGTACGAGGCTATCCTTAAGTTTCTGAAGACATTCAAAGTAAATCCCATCAGCGGGCAGAAGATGGACTCCAAGTCGCTGGTCAAACTCAATTTCCACAGGAATGCAAACGATGAGTACCACTGCCCCGCCTTGTTCAAACCATTCAGCAAGAACTCGCACATTGTGGCGGTGGCCACCACGGGAAATGTTTATTGCTGGGAGGCCATTGACCAGCTAAACATCAAGACGAAAAACTGGAAGGATCTTGTGGACGACACGCCCTTTCAGCGCAAGGATATCATCACCATACAGGATCCTCAAAGACTTGAGAAATATGATATCTCCACCTTCCATCACATTAAAAAGAACCTGCGTGTTCTGACGGAAGAAGAGCAGCTAGAGAGAAAGAATCCAGCCAGCGGACGTATTAAAACCATGAATCTGGAGACCAAGGAAACTCTGGAGCAGTTGCAGCAAGACTACCAGCCTGCAGAGGAGAAACCATCCACTTCAAAGCTCACAGCCGATAAGTTCAATGCTGCTCATTATTCAACAGGAGCTGTGGCCGCCAGTTTTACATCCACCGCCATGGTGCCCGTGTCCCAGATAGAGGCGGCAATTATAGATGATGACATAGTAAAGTATGAGAGGGTTAAAAAGAAAGGTTACGTTCGCTTAAATACTAATCTCGGTCCCCTTAACCTGGAACTCTTCTGCGACCAAACTCCTCGAGCCTGCGATAACTTCATCAAGCATTGCGCCAATGGTTACTACAATAATGTTATGTTTCACCGATCTATAAGGAATTTTATTGTAGGTATGAAATACTGTTTAAAAAACTCTAGATTATAGTTATTCTCTCTACAGGTGCAAGGTGGTGATCCCACAGGCAGTGGCTCTGGCGGCGAATCCATATGGGGCAAGAAATTTGAAGATGAGTTCAAACCCAATCTCACGCACACAGGTCGGGGAGTGCTTTCCATGGCAAATTCAGGGCCCAACACCAATGGCTCTCAGTTGTGAGTAAACCACGATTTATTGTTCTCAAGATTTTTATAAGCTCTACTATTTCGTAGCTTTATAACCTACCGCTCCTGCAAACATCTTGATGGGAAGCACACAATATTCGGCAAGCTCGTCGGCGGTTTGGACACTCTTCAAAAAATGGAGAACATCGAGGTGGACAACAAGGACAGACCAATTGAGGACATCATTATTGAGTCCTCACAGGTCTTTGTAAATCCCTTTGCGGAGGCAGCTGAGCAGCTAGCCAAGGAGCGCGAGGAAGAGGCGGCCAGCAAACAGGAGACTGTGCAAAAAGAGGAGCAGCAAAAGCGGATGAAGGAACCGCTCAAAGTGTACAGGGAAGGCGTTGGTAAGTACCTGAAACTTCAGGCGATGACCAAGAAGCCAGATTCAACCCTTCCTGCCGCCCAACCCGCCAAGAAAAAAAAACTTACAAATGGTTTCGGTAATTTCTCCAGTTGGTAACCGTTTCCGTTTCAAAAATAAAAGTTTTAGATATTGTAAATTGGTAAAAAAATCTTGATATTGACTATTTATCAGTGGTTTCGGTTCCTCCATCTGTGCGTTCTCTATCCTGCCAGCTTTTCTTCATTTCCTGCAGTTTTCCCTGCCGCCGACGCCGCTCTGTGGACTTCCTCTGCTCTTGGGCCTTTATTTGGGCCGCAATGGAATGCTCTCCATTCAGATGGTTATCGAGTTTCTCAAGGAGGAGTTTCCTGGCCTCCACTCGATTTTTAGAAGCTAAACGATGTGTATGACACTTGATGGTTATGTTGGTTGGCAGATGGCGTAGAAACACACAGTTGGAGGTCTTGTTCACCGCTTGGCCACCAGGGCCACTGCCTCGCATGAAAGTCTCCTCGATCTCTGACTCCTGAAGCGTGGGAAAGCGTGAGTAGTCCAGATTGGCTGTGGATTTGCAACGTACAGCGGATGGAGGAAGCGCCAGGATGCGCACCAGACCTCGCAACATCCCTATAGAATTCGACCCTTCTTCAGCAGGGTCTCTCCGCGCTGAAATATAAATTTGTTCTTAAACTGTTATGAAATGCAAATGTGGTGTTTACCTTAAAACTGAACTCCACTTCTGCCGGACTTGTGAGGGACCGGTTCTCCCGGAATTCGTGCCGTACTCTTCCCAGAAAATAGTTTTTATCGGTAAGCTTTAAGTGATTGCCGTATCGAATTAAATGCTTGTACAAACGCAAAATTTGCTGCCGCGAAGGTTGAATCATTTTTTGATTTGATATGTTTTTCTCACATGTGAGACAGTGTTGGGCAGCGTCTGTTTTGATAACAAGTTGGCATTACCGCACTACAGTCAGCTGTTGCAGCTAGCGATCAAAACAATAACAGTGCTGATAATAGAACACTTAAAAAAAATACATATTGATAAGATTGTATTTTGAATTGAAATTGATAAAGGCCGTAGAATAGAATGCTCAGGTGCTATACGCCTTCTTAAATCGATTGACCAATCACCATTAAAAATTTGTAGTCATGCCGAGAATCGATTTTTAGTCCATTTTTAACACAATAAATATAATGCAGGTCATGTTTGATTTATTTTATTATCTACCGATTGCACTTTGGAAATGATTAGTCTTTGGGCAACTTGTCTACATCAATGCCATCATCTATGGAGACCCCAGTGAGTTGGCTAAGCTCAAGCATTTCCTTAACCTGGTGGGCAACCTCCTTATCAACTATATCCCCGCCCTGATTCATGGTCCGATCTATGATCTCCTCATCCGTCATCTGATTTGCAAACATCTCCTCCGGCGAAATATCCAAGGGCTGCACTAAAGTCATAAGGAAACTGGCCGATATGGACACACTATACGGCAGGAATCGCACATACTCCTTCAGAAGCTCCAAACGACTGGAAGATAAAGAATACGTTTAATATAGCAGCTTTAGTGTTTCTATAGGAATAGTTATCTTATCATTTTAAACATTGAATGACTTTTTCGATTGTAGCCCAAAACATTTTTTTCGATAAGATTTAAATTATAAATCATAACATGCATTATTTTTTGAGAAAATTTACGACATATGTGCATATTAAAATTAATTTTTATATGATATAATAAATATCTTCATTTTTAAGAAATAATATATTAACATAAATCTTGCAAGTTCTCACCTCATGCTCTCTGGAACATCCGCCTGGGCGTGCTTCCTATAGCTATCATATAATGCAGAACAGTATTCATCAAAGATTGCATCGAAGTTAGGATATCGTACATCGGCATAAATAGACACAGCCAGGAAAACTGAGAGATCGATCATGGGAGAGGAGACTCGTAAAGTCTGGTAGTCGAACATCATAATCTCCTGCGGTTCCTCCTTGTCATTATATTTGTATGCCACGTTATTCCTGACATAATCTCCGTGACAAAGTGTCGCTAATGGTTCTCTGGGCGCCACCCGTTGCCTTCCGTAAATGTTGTAATCGCCAATTAGGAAGGATAACTTCTTTACGAACTCTCCGTCAATCTGGGGTTGGAAGGTCGCCACAGCCTTGGCTGCCCGCTTGATGCTCGTCTTCATTGTGAGCATCCATTCCGGATGAATAAAGTCGCTGGCATAGCGGGATTCCTTCAGACTGTCAATCAGTTGGCCGAACTTCTCAGGATTTCTATGCTTCATGGCGTAGGCAAAACCATGGAACTTTCCCAGGTAATCCACAGCAATCAGGGCATGTTCCAGGCTTAGGCCTACCCGATCCTTAGTCACCCGCCAACTGTGCTCTGCGAAATTCTCTAGGATAACCACCGCTGAATACCGATTCAACTCGCTGTAATAATACTTTGGAGCGGCGAACTTTCCCCCAGCCAGCTTCTGAATCTCGGGGAGAATTTCCGTGTAGAAGTTTATCTCGTTGCTGAAGAGTGGTCCAAACTGGACGGCGTCATACATTTCTGGGGGCATTTCATGGGTTTTCTACGAAAACAAATAAAAATGCATTTAGTAAGCACAATGACCCGCAACATACTTCCCAAAAATGAAAGCTCATTATTAGACTAAGTTTGGTAATCTATGTGAGATTAAAACCTGTTATCGTTCGATTAGTTTCGATCTACAAGTGGTTTGATAAGACCGTAAAAACAAAAACTAGGCATTTTGAACAATTTCACAATGTTTGCGCACAATGCATTGAACCTTCCTACTCGCGACGTACTTATCTGTGTTTGCTGGTCAACAAAACTGGGAAATGTATGCATTTTTATCCGTAGACACAGCAACTTGGATTATACTTTATACACTTTACTATATACTATGCAATTTAAGTGGGGATGTGCACTGAACGCTATGCCATTCAATTTCGTGACTTGGTTACTGTGATTGAACAACAGCACTTTTTTAAATTCCCATCAACACTTTTCATCTTATTTAATTATTTTTATGTGACTATACCTTAACGACCATTTTTTGCTTGAACTTTTCTCCGTCGTATTCAAAGTTGATGATGGCTCGGTAGCAAAAGGTGAGCATAAAGGCCTCCTTATGTCCGATCACATCAATCTCGATGTCTCCCACTTTAAAGGTGTTTGCCTTGGAATCGCTGTAGTTTTCCACCAGTCGTCCGCTTTCTACAATTTTTGGAAGAATTGTAGATCGCAGCCACTCGGTCTCCGCCTCGATCTTTTCCATTCTGCCAATGATCGTGTATATACTGTCGATTCAAACTGCTTAACTTTCGGAAAATGAATGAGCAACTGCGACGGTTTTAGGTGGAATTTATACTCTCCAAGAGCTTACGCTCTTTAAGAGATTAGATGAAACCAATAGACTAAAGAGAAAAGTCGAAAGCTTTCTAATCATTAAGAGAGTTTTGTAATTACACATTCTGATGATGCAATAAATAAGAATATTGAAACTCGCTAAGAGAGATAAAGAACTTAAATGGTTTAAAGAAGGATAAGTGAAAAATTATGGTTAATAAATTCAAATGCATTTTTATCATTTTATTCTCCAGGGATTTGTTGTCAAAATTAATTGTTTTTAAACATTCGCTAACTTAGCATTTACTAACCATTTACTAAATAGAAAATGTCGCTTAAATGGTATTTGTTGAATACAACTGGGTCAATGACCAGGGTCAACACCTATATTCCCAAGTTAACGGAAAGGCCAGAACGCAGGGGAATACCTAATATGGCACCCCGAGTTCAAAAAAAGACGAATGCTTTATTTAAGATTGAGGACTTGGATAGTATTTCATACATTTCCGATTCTTCTCGAAGGAGCAAGAGATTGAGCAAACGAGCCATTCAGTTCAAAGAGATCAAGAATTCCCAATCTCCCGAAACCACCTGCCCTTTGCCACCTAGTACCATACCCGAAAAGGAACCAATCGTTCAGGACTCTCCACGTATGCGGGAGTTCTTTATCGAAGTGCGACAGCGTGAGCTGAAGGATTACTACCGACAGATGAAGGCAGCTGAAAGACATCCAAACGTGACTCTGTTATGTCCAGATTGTGGTCTGGCAAAGCTTAATGGAAAGGATCTCACCCAGAACATTTATTGCACGGGAGATAAGACCTTGAGGCGGAATATAGATAGAAATTGTGATCAGTATAGAGATCTCTCTTGGTTGTGGAACTCCTCCGCGGCACAAACACACTTAGCATTAAGTGTTACATGCGGTGGAGGTGTTCCCATCCACTTGTGATCTTTATTCACTTGTTCACATTGTGAAATTTTCCAATTCAAGTTCCGAAATTTTTATGTAGTTAGCATGGATTTTGCTGGATTTACTTCAAGTCTAAGTTAGAACACCAAATCTATCGTATCCAAATCCATCGACCAAGATCCCAAGATGTATTCCGATCCCGCCCAGGAGACAGTTGCGACGCAGACGGAGGCCCAGCCGAGTCCGAAACCCGTCTGCACGCCGCTGCTCATGGTGGACGAGGATGGTCGGAAGCGGTACTGCTACCATGGTGGAAAGTGCAAGTGCGCCACGTGCGTCAAAATCCGGGAAGAGCAAGCAGTTAAACTGGACAAGGAACTATTGTCCTACATCCCGCATTCAAAACTGCATCTTGAAGTTCCCATTCGGATGGTGAAACCAAAGCAGTACCGCCTGGAAGCCAGGCGTGCAGCTCCTTGGATAGCTACATGGCTACGAGAGGATCACGAGAGGCTGAGAGCTGAGTATCCCATTTACTACCTTCCGGATAGATACTTCAGCGACAACTTCTACATGTTGCCAGGACCTCAGCACAAGGAAACCCAGACGGACATCCCAATTGGGCGCTATGGCATAGATGGCTGTCCATGTCCCGACAAATCGCTCTGCTACGATTTGTAATTGTAATCCTGGGCAGGTTTCGATGGGGCAGTGAGGGAAAATAAAGATTTCAGAAGGAAATAATAGTACCTTTTCTTGGTTAGATGGTTAGCTAACACAATTATTCTCAGCACTTATATTAATAATTTTTAACCTTATAAATTTGTACTGCGGCGTTTGTAAAAAATTTTTAAATTAATATACAAATTATTAAATGCTTAAGTACTTTGGAATCATAACGTTATCTGCCCATGTTTGCGATACTTAACCTACCAACTTTGCGAAGCAGATGCTCAACTTTTTGGCCACTTTTCCATATCAATGTCATCATCTATGGAGACCCCAGTGAGTTGGCTCAGTTCAAGCATTTCCTTAACCTGGTGGGCAACTTCCTTATCAACTATTTCCCCGCCCTGGTTCATGGTCTGATCTATGATCTCGGCATCCGACATCTTCTTGGCAAACATTTCTTCTACAGAAATATCTAAGGGCGCTACTAAATTCATAAGGAAACTGCCCGTTATGGACACACTATACGGCAGGAATCGAACATATTCCTTTAGAAGCTCTGCACGACTGAAAGACACAGAAGATGCTTTATGTCAAATTGTAAAGTATATGTTGAAATCCTAACCTCATGCTCTCTGGAACCTCATCCTTGGCGTGCTCCCTATAGCTATCATATAACGCCGAGCTGTATTTCTCGAAGATTTCCTCAAAGTTTTGATATCGAACATCGGCATAAATGGATAATGCCAGAAACACTGAAAGATCAATCATGGGAGAGGAGTCACGCAAAGTCTGGTAGTCGAACATCATGATCTCCAGCGGTTCCTCCTTGTCATTATATTTGTATGCGACATTATTCCGTAAATAATCACCGTGGGAAAGTGTTGCAAGTGGTTCCCTCCGCGCAACTCGTTGTCTACCATAAAGTCTAAAATCCGAGATCACGTTTGCCAAGTGCTTCACAAACTCTTTGTCAATCTGAGGTTGAAAGGTGCCCACAGCCTTGACTATTCTTTTTATAATGGTCTTCATACTGAGTACCCACTCTGGATGAAGCTCATCGGTGGCGTAACGAGATTCCCTCAAACAGTTGGTCAGTTGGGCAAACTTCTCCGGATTCGTGTGCTTTATGGCGTAGGCAAAACCATGAAACTTTCCTAGGTAATCCACAGCAATGAGAGCGTGTTTCAGGCTTAGGCCTACCCGATCCTTCGTCACCCGCCATCCCTGCTCGGAGAAATTCTCTAGGATGACCACTGCTGAATACCGATTCAACTCGCTGTAATAATACTTGGGAGCGGCGAACTTTCCCCCAGTCAGCTTTTGTATCTCTGGGAGAATTTCCGTGTAAAAGTTTATCTCGTTGCTGAAGAGTGATCCAAACTGGACGGCGTCATACATTTCTGGGGACATTTCATGAGTTTTCTATGGGGAACAAAAAGTGTGTTCATTTTTTATGGCTTAAAAAAGAGCATATTAAAAAGAGCACTTTAAAACGCTTTAATCTGTGTTTGCTGGTCCATAAAACTGGCACAGACATATCTTTATCCGTTGACGCTGTATCTGGGGCTTATACTATTTATTTTTAATGGGGGTGTCCGCTGTAATTGTTTATGTAACTTCAGTGGAGGCCCATTTTCAAATTTCCAATGCCTCTGATCATATTTAATTATTTTTATGTGACTGTACCTTAACGACCATTTTGTGTTGAAACTTTTCTTCGTCATATTCAAAGTTGATGATGGCCCGGTAGCAAAAAGTGAGCATAAAGGCCTCCTTGTGTCCGATCACATCAATCTCGATGTCTCCCACTTTGAAGGTGTTTGCCTTGGAATCGCTGTAGTTCTCCACCAGGCGTCCGTTTTTGAGAATCTTCGGAAGAATCGTAGATCGCAGCCACTCGGTCTCAGCTTCGATCTTTTTCATGGTGTCTATATATTTACTAAGTATAAAAGGGATCTGAACTGCTGTACATCAGAAAATAATATGAGATACTCCGAGTACTTACAGTAGAATTTACAATATGATAAAGCTTAAGCTCAAGCTCTTTTCGAAATTTGACGAAATAATTTGAGCTAAATAAAAAGCTTTTATATCATTTATAAACGTTTAGAGCTTTCCTGTTCTCCTGCTGAGAGAATGGCAATATTGGTAAGCTAATTTATAACCAGTAAGAGCTTTGCATACTCTTTCAGAGAGTTCCGTTACGATTCCTAAACCAGAAATTCTAATTCTAAAGCACTGATCTACGTGTGCCGTCTCGTTAACATGGATTTTGCTGGATAAAATTCAAGTCTTAGTTAGAAATCTAAATCTTTCGTAACCTTATCGAAACGAGGCTTAGATTTATAGATCCCACAATGTATTCCGATCCCGCCCAGGAGTCAGTTGCGACGCAGACGGAGGCCCAGCCGAATCCGAAGCCCGTCTGCACGCCACTGCTCATGGTGGACGAGGATGGTCGGAAGCGGTACTGCTACCATGGTGGAAAGTGCAAGTGCGCCACTTGCGTCAAAATCCGGGAAGAGCAGGCAGTTAAACTGGACAAGGAACTATTGTCCTACATCCCTCATACAAAACTGCATCTTGAAGTTCCCATCCGAATGGCGAAACCAAAGCAGTACCGCCTGGAAGCCAGTCGAACAGCTCCTTGGATAGCCACATGGCTACGAGAGGATCACGAGAGGCTGAGAGCTGAGTACCCTACGTACTACCTTCCGGATAGGTACTTCAGCGCCAACTTCTACATGTTGCCTGGGCCTCAGCACAAGGAGACACAGACTGACATCCCGATTGGTCGTTACGGCATCGATGGTTGTCCATGTCCCAATAAGTCACTTTGCTACGATTTGTAATTGTAATCCTGGGCAGGTTTTTGCAGTGTGGGATAAATAAAAGTGGGTGGTGTAAGAATATTTTCCTTTTGTTTTTTTGTTGAAACTGGGAATTCCAGTTAAGTCATTAACCCCTATTTTCTGTATATACTCTTAAGCTATGCTTGAATTGGAAGCCACTATAATTTATATACCATAAACAATTGTTCCAATAAGCTAAGACTAACATTTTCCTTCCATTTTCATGAGTTAGCCATTTGTAAATATCATAATCTCAATCCATAATGTTGCAATGCTGATCCTGTCATTTATTCACTTGTAAGTTAACCTTTTTGGACCCATCTCCCTTTAAATCAAACAAAATGTGGCGTAACTCAAAAGTGACCCGGTATCTGTCCAGGATCATTACGCGCCACGCTTCGAGTGACATAAACAGCAGCGTAGCAGCGGCTTATGCCAAAGGAGACACACGACTTGACCCCGTTAACGTGATGCCAAAGTCTAAGTACGGCGGTATCAATACTGTCTCCTTGCTCACTGGCAGCACTATGATTGGCGAACAGGGAGCTCGTTTCGTTAAGTCACTGCTGCAGAGCAGCCGAGTGCCTGTGGAGGTGCAAGTAATCGAAGCGGGCCAGGATGATGAGTACTTCAACTCGGTGCTCCGGAATAGAACCGCGGTGCATGTGGACAACCAGGCTGATGAGCAATCCAAGCAGAAGGCCCTCAAGATCTGTAACGATTTGGACTTGTACGTGTTGAAGACCCGGACACGCAGTTTTCCAGGTTTCAAGTGCCGCTTTCCGGGCGTAGACATTCTGATGATTGGCCAAAACAACATGGGCATTTACAATGAACTAGAATATTCACCCGTTAAGGGTGTTGTGGAGGCCCTATCAGTCGTTAGCCAAAAGTCCATTGATAAGTACCTAAACTATGCCTTTAAGGCGGCTGTTGCAGCGGGTCGAAAACGGGTGACTTTGATTAACAAGGCCAAGGAGTGGCCCATTGTTGATGGTTCCATGGTGGCAGCTGCCAAACGAATGCACTGTCCCTATAAGGAATGCCTGGAGCTGGAGTTCATGGAATTGGATGATGCCGTCAGTCGGCTTGTAACGGATCCCATATACTTTGACTGTCTTTTTGCCAGCGATCGCTATGCCACATTTCTCTCGTCGATCTGCAGTGCCGTTTGTGGCGGATCTAATCTTTTCAGTGCCGTGGAAATCGGAGATACCCATGCCGTATTCAAGCCGCTACAAACAAAGCTTTCGCTGACCAACTATGCCACACTAAGTGCTTATGGCATCGTATCCACCATCGTAGATCTCTTCGAACATTTGGGCCACAAAAAGTGCTCGGATGCCTTGTGGTGCGAGATGCTGCGTACCATGGACGAAGGTATCCGGACTAAGGAGTTCGGTGGGAAGGACACCGGCGAGTACGTTATCTGCAACATTATCAACCAGCTGCGTTGCCAAGGCTACAATCAAAGTAAATAAATTTCTTGTAAATTATTTCCAAAAATTTGAAAAAACACTCTTTGAGGAATTTTTTTATTAAAATAATAAAACAAATTACCTAGTTCTTAAGCAAACATGTAATTTTTTTAATTGTTACTAAAATAAACATATTTTAGCCCAAAATTTTGGGGTATCCGCACATTATCCACAAGCCTATATGGTCAATAGTTGCACCGTTTCAGGGAGTTCTTGGCCTGAAAATTTAGACTTAGTAGTTAAAAAAAAATACAAGTAAACTATATTTCTGAAGCATTGAGACTTTTACCAGAAAAAATTATATTTTATTAGTTTTTAGCGCTTAAAAACTGGATATTAATTATTAAAAGTCATTTGTATAAAATTTAAAAGTTTTTTGCGGCCTAAATGCATCAGAAATACAAATTTTTAGAGCGTCTAAAACTAGCTTTTAGGATCTTCAACCACACCTGTTCCTCCTCCGAACGCAGCTTACTCTCGCACATCTTCACCTTCCAATTTTCCGTAAAGGTCACCAGCTCTACCATCATCTTGAAGGTAACAGTTTTCTGGGGCTTCAAGCTCTTTATCAGCTTGCCTGGCTTCCCCTTCTTACTGGGATACTTCATGTAATCGTATACGATCGGTGGATCCTCTTCCCCATTAGTAATATCCTTTTCCAATTCGACGGATTCTTTTAGATCTTCGTCCATGTGGGTGGGATAAAATTTGTTTGGTTTATTTAATGATTTCAATGCGTTATCCATGATCGGAGGAAAATTTAGTAGGATTTAGTTGTTGAGCTATCAGAAATGTTTCAAAACTTTAATTGGGTGTTCGAAAGACAGATTCCCAGTGCCTACTATGGAGGTGTGGGTCATAAACGTTATGTCCTACCATTTGCACGTACAATTTGAATAAATTTATATTCCAGCCGGCGGCTGTAAACAACTACATAAATCCCGGAGTATAACCTATGAATGGAGTTTGTTCTGGGGGGTGGGCAATGGTAATAAAATGTCTGGCCAGAAGTGAAGCATATTTGCAGGCGCCAAAAACAAAAGCCGCAACACAATTGCCCAGCATGTAGGAGCATGTATGTAAGTATGTAAGCCCCAGTCGATACTATATCATCATGCAAATTGGCATCGTATACCCCTCTGTACCCCCTATATAGTCCCAACCCAAGGCTAATAAGTACGATGAACGACTCCGCAACACAAACAAACAAAGAGAGCTGGATAAACAACGGCGAAAAATCCAGGGAGCCGTAGAGCAAATCCTTGCCGTGGGCAATCCTTGAGTTATGGCTCAATTCCCGGCCAACAAGGAGGAAAAGACAATCGTTTACACACATATAAGTCGTAATTTATTCGCCACTAGAAAAGTTTCCTTTATTAAATTTTAGTTGAAACAAAACACACACACACACAAATAACATACAAAACATACACACACACATATGCATTGAGCGCATCCTTTTTAGCAACTCTCATAGTGTCCTGGTCATTGTTCCAGCTCGTTGGTGGGTCCATGGGTCAGTTTGGCCTTCAGGGATCCGCAAACCATCATGCAGGTGAACAAGGAGAGCTCCAGGACACGACACATGCAGTAGGCCACCACATCCAGTAGGTGCTCCACAACTCCCAAGTACAGACACATCCGTGGGTGGGTTGGTTTTTCCGACGAGTAAAGGTTGCTTAGGTGTTGTCTTGGCTGATTTATCAGTTAATCTTCTATAACCTGATAAGCCAAAACCTCTTATCCTGGTTAATTTCACCGTGCTTATATGGGACAAACTCTTTTCTTCAAATGATAACACTGCGTTGGCTGGCTCCCGTTATATTCAATCCTGTTGCTGTATCAAAACACGAAGTTCCTTTCGTCTTCGCCTCGTATTTCTCAACAAAACAAAACGAGAGTCGCAAAGAGAGAAGGAGAGAGAGAAAGTGCCGTTGCAAGCTTGTCAGAAAGGGGAAAGGGGGAGGACAAGGAAAACTTGGAGATGGGAGTTCAGCCGTTAACGGTGCATGCGCAAACAGGTTCTTCTCCATTTCGATGAGATAACAATGATAAAGAGCGAAAGTAAAAGATTGTAATAATATATCATAATTAATAAAAATTAAAAAAATATATATTTGTAGTAGCAATATCATATAGCACCTTCTTATTTAAACGCTAAACTCAATACTATCAAAAATTTAAATGTTAGGAAAGAGATGTGCAAATATTTTGTAATTTTTCAGTAATAAATGTCACTTTTCCCTTATATCTAAAAATAAATTTATTATTATTTATTTATTACTTAAAAATAATATCCCAAGGGATCTTTAATCACAAAACAAGGTAATTAACAATCCAATATGTGTTTTTCATAGCCACTTTATAATAGGATATTTATACAATGCCAGTTAATAGTTTGATTCGACGACTGGCTAGACGGCAAATGTCGTGCTTATCCCAAGGACAAAACCTTTGAGAACCAAAGGCAACCACGCCGAGCACTAGGTCTCGACCATATGTTGGTTCCTAACCGAAGTTGGGTCGGTGTCGGTGCAGTACAGCATATGGTCACTAGACGCGAGCCAGAATGCAGTTCGCCAGCGAGTTAATTGATGGCCCATGCCGTCCAGTACAGTAGCTCATCCTCGTCAGCTCTCCTTCTCGTTCTCCCTCTACCTATTCCTCTACCATCCACTCGGTCGTGTGCTGTTGAGCGTGAAAGTCACAAATTACGGGGAACAGAGGAGAGGAGAAGATCACATGGCATGATAGCACCAATTTGGCAAGATATGACGCGTGCCCTGTGCAAGCGAGATGGCAATACGCAAAGTGTAGGTGTAGGCTAGCGAAAGAGAGAGACAAAGAGAGGTAAAGCGAGAGAGGCACACTTCTAACCCCTAAGTGTGCGGCCGGGGGTCAAAGTCACCCCTGCTCCTCGGGGAGATCCTTTGGCAGGGATATGGTAATAACTGCGAGGATCCTGGGGCCAGGGGTCATTTGCGGGCCACTTACACAAACTTGGTCAGAACGGCGGTGAAAATATTTGTAGAACGCATCTCGCGGGGGTTGACTGTAACGCCGGGACTCGGGATCGTTTCAGTTCCATCGAAACTTTCAAGCCGCGCAGATCTGCCATGAGCTACTACTACTCGTCTGCCTCGGAGGAGGACGGCAGTTCCCAATACCTGGGCAGTCCCAACTATAACCTGACCCAGTTACCCATTTCTACGCAGGATTATGGACAATCGGCTTTGTTATCACCGGAATGGCAATTCCTAGATACCGCAGGCGGAACTCAACCAGAAATGGCTCCAGTCCTGGAACTACCAACCCAGCCCAGTCAACAGCAGAACAAACGACGGAGTAACAGCTCCACAGGATCGGAGGGCAAGAAAAGCAGTCCCGATCTGACCAATCTCAGTCCAACGGTCCAGAAACGAAGACGACAGGCTGCCAATGCCAGGGAAAGGAAGCGCATGAATGGTCTTAATGAAGCTTTCGATCGACTGAGGGAAGTAGTGCCTGCTCCCTCCATCGACCAAAAGTTGTCCAAGTTCGAAACTCTCCAGATGGCCCAGTCCTACATCCTGGCACTATGCGATCTCCTTAACAACGGAGATGTGGAGGTAGATGCCTCAGCCTACACAATATTCAGTGGCAGTGAAAGCAGCTTTGGGTTAACCGGAGGATCCTTATCATAGATGGATACTGCAAAACATTCTCTCTTAGACTTAAGATATGTGATTTTCTTCTTACTGTAGAATAGGGATTAAAAAGAAATAAATGGAATGGACAATTGAAGTTTAGTGACATTCATTACTTTTAGATTGGAATATAAGCCCATAACCTTTGATCTTTTGACTTGGTCCCCTTGAATATGGTGATAAATATTTCTTGGAATGGTAATACAAATTTGTAACCTAAGAGTGTCTTCATTGTACTAAAGACATTGGCAGCTTTAAAAAGAAATAAAAAAAATTCTGTTAAATCAGCCAATTTAGTTTACTTCCTTTTTGGCAGTTTTAACACCCCGCTATTCAAACCCACTTTTTCATGAACCCCCCAGATTCAATTGGCCATCGGATCGTTTGGCTACGCCTCAATGGTTTCGAAAACGTTCATAAATTAATTACTGAAAAGTTCATTGATAGGAGAATGTCAAGTTTTGGTCTAACCCCGAACGATCCCGACAAAATGTTGCCGCCACCGCAGTGGGCGTCGAAGCATGACGCCCCTGGGCTCCTGGCCTAGAACTACTCTCATTGAATAAAAGCCAGCTGAGTCCTTCGGCTTCGGTTGGGTGCTGTTCTTTATATGATTCGAGGGGCAGGAAGTATGTGTTAGGACATTACGCTATGGATTGATCACCGAGGATACACTCGCTTGGGTTTTGTAGGCGGCTTGGGTGGCAGTGGAATCGCCTCAGTGTCTTCGCCTGGGACTATGATGTGCTGCATCTCTACATCGATCTTGCTGAAGGAGTTCTTCGATGGTCGAAAACCAGGAACCGGTGGATGCAGTACTATAACATCTCGCACGTTATCGCCGAAACTCAAATTTTGAAAGGGATTATTGGTAAGCAATAAAGTCCTGTTCTCGTCCAGGACCGGAACGTTGGCTTTGTTGGATGGCCGTAGAACAGGTCTCCTTGGTCTTGATGTCATAGCTCGATATAGTACAGACCGCCGGATCTTTTTTGGATGAGGCATCGATTCTCTGACATCTGGAGTTGGTATTACACTCTTCATGTTCAGGTGCTCATTGATGATGTCCAGCGCTGTTTTGGCCAGGACCGAGGGAACCCTGAAGGAACCCAGTACTGAGAGACCCTCCGTCGGCTGGGATTGCTGAGATGGCCGAGATGGCTGCGATTGGTTGACGGTCGACGAATCGACCCAGGACATGCCCTGAGAGCCGGAGCACTGCCGGGGGCAGTGCAGCTGCTTCACAGACGCTTGTCCTGGGCCCATCTGGTGGCCATCGGATGGTCCAATCGATTTCTTCGGCACCACGAGGAGGTACTTTTGGTGATTACCGTGGTCCTGTAATTTGCAAATAAAATAAGCGGCCGATTTTAAGTCAAAGGGCAACTTGCTGTTGACAGCTGCTTTTGTGTCCATAGTTCTCTTGGCGGCGCTTTGGGTAGGACGGCTGCCATACTCGGAGGATTGACCTCCAGTTTTCGTCGTGGTTCGTTGCTTCATTGGTTCTTCTAACTGAGCCCTCTGAGCTCCAGAAAGGCGAACGGGGCTGGCGGATCTGGACTGCACTCTAGGGGATATTCCAGTTTTGGGGCGGGGTCTCTTCTTGACAGGAGGAAGCTGGTTATCACTGATTAATCCTGTTTTCGCTTTATTAATCTTTCTTTCCAACTTTAAGCTGTTCAATAACTCCAATGGTTTGGGTTTCTTGGTTTCGTCCTGGGGTTTCTCCAAGTTGAGTGCCGTACAAATGCTACCGGCTTGGTTTCGTTTCTTTGGGACAGTTATCTTGGGCTCGTTTGGATCATTTTTCAGCTCACAAAAACATCCTTCGTCAGGGACTATATTACCATTACCATTTTGGTTGGTATTCCTATTTTCAAATTTGGAATTATAATCTTCATCGGGCTCACATTCACATATAACTATTTCGTTTCCATTATCTATTCCAGGATCATCCAGATCTTGCTTATCTCTTCTGCCTCTATTGGGAATGGAAGTCTCTGGCTCTGCAACATATTTTTGATAGGCGTTGGCATCATCGAATTTGCATTCACAGTCCACAACCTCTTCTTCGACTCCTCTGGTTCTTTCTTTTTTGCCATCTCTCATATTGTCAGTAGTCCTTTGATCATTTCTAGGCTTTCGAGTACTTCTATTTTGTGTAGAATTCATATTCCTATCATTGGTTTTGGGAAAATCATCAGCACTACACCTACAGTATACATCAGTTCCCCTGGAATAAGTAGGCTTCTTATCTCTTTTGTTATCCGACTTATGGTATTCCCTTTCCTCGCTTTCAGAGTTATCGTAACTCAGAGGTTGTTTGGGTCTTCTAGATTTTTCAGTTCTATTATATTCTCTCTTATCCATTACAGGATAGCCATTATAGGCGTCATATCCTTCAGAGTCCATGTCTTCGTCACACAAGCAATCCGATTCTTCTGCATTCCTATTACTTCTGTATTGATTTTCACTGCGGTAATCTCTTTGTCTTTCATCATATCTACGAGGTTGATTTCTTTCTTCACTTCTAGGATACTTGTTAAATTCATCCACTGGCGAACGAACTTCCAAGTCTTTATCGGAGTCGCTGTTTGTATTTTTATATCTTTTTGATTCGTAACCCCTACTATTTGGCTCATATTCATAGTCATCCATTTCAGCGGGAACTTCCTTTCTCTGATTTCTATAATTACCAACTTCTCTTCGGCCTTTCCCTTGATTCTGAGCTTTATCACCATCCCGCAATTGCCTTCTTGGCGAGGATTCATCCCTATACCGTCTTCTTGCTCCGTTTGCTTCTTCACCCTGCTCTTTAGGATTCGTTTGATCACGTCGTTTTCGTGGCATTTCTTTCGCTTTCCCGGTATCAGCATATGGACACGTGTCATCATTGCACCCGAAATCTTTTCTTCCGGAGTTCTGATTTTCACCATAACCATATCTGGGATCTTCTACCTCCCTCATATTTTTTGGTTGCCGTCCAGATCTATTTAAATCTTGTCTAGAACTGCTAAACGGACAGGTTTCATCAGTACAGTATTCTCCATTTCGTCTTTGTGGTTTGTTAGATTCATCAGCTGGTTTCGTCTTGGACCGCAAGTTATCTTCCCTTCCTTGACCACTATATCTATCCCTCGGATTTGGATTCGTTTCTTCGTAGGTTTCATTTTCGGGACGATTTCTACTTTTGCCTTGAGATTTTCCTCTAGAACTTGGCGTAGCCTTCTCCTCAAAGTTGCGATTCCTTGGGGATCGTTTCGAATTATCTTCACCGTCTTGCCCAGTATATCTTTTATTGGTATATCTATCTTGTTCTTGCCTTCGTTTGGGACTTGATTTCGGTTCCTCCTCATAATCCCGAGTCCTTGATGGAGGCCTTTTTCTTTGAGCAATTCTTTCTTCCCCATCCTGACAACTGGGTTCCTCACGCCTGTATTTCAAATTCGGACACTCTTGGGGATTTGTGTCACTAAAAGCTGGACACTCTATTAATTCAGAATCATCGGTCCGTAATTGAAAAACTTTTTGATCGTTGGGGGTCTCGGTGTCATCATTTCTTCGACGTGGTAAAGGAGAATCTTCATAGTTGGAATCAGGGTTACTTGCAACTCTTTCATCAGTTCGATTTCTTCTTTGAGAAGCCTGATCTTTTCGATCGCTTCTGTTAGCTGGGCACCTCACATCGTCACAGTTTTGCTTTAACTGAGTTGGACGATCAGAATCTTGTTTATTTGGTCTTCTGCGAGAACGATTCTCATCCTCTGGCCTACTTCTCTGATGATCATTTCGATTTTTTCTTTGGGCTGCACGATCTACGTAATTAGAAGTTTCCTCATCGGTATCATAGTCTGGCTCTTGGTTTTGGTAGTTCCCTCTATTTGATTGGTATTTTTGGTCCTTAGTTCTTGGTTTGTTTTTATAGGCAGGACACTCGACAAAGAGAATATTCTGTGGAGGTGAATTCAAATTTGATTTTGTGGAAAGTGCCTGTTCGGGGTGGGATCTGGCATTAGCATTGGACGAATACATATTGTTTTGATCCTGCTGTGGGATGGAGATGGGTGTTAAAGGGTTGCTCTCGTCACCGGGTTGAGATGATGCTCCCTTCTTTTCCTCCTGCCAAGACGTTGATAACGGCGCCATTGGCATCTGGGCAGGATTGGCAGCTGTATCCGTGGCCTGAGCCTGTACCCACATGTCTGCATTCTCTGCATTGATGCAGTACACATGCTGTTGTTCCGGATAACCAGATCGTCCGAAATCATTAAAATATTCTATTTCTCTATAAGGCTGAACCTGACCCACTTGATTTCCTGGAGGAATTCTACGGTTGAAACTCGCAGGATTCTGGTCGAGGGCTTCTGGTGGATAGTAGTTTTCCTGGGGTGGAACCACAATTCGATTACAATACATGCACTGACATCCATAGATACTACACCGATTGGGTTGAACATTTGGCTGATTATTATCGTTGTAATATCGATCCGAAATCGGCTGATTATTGGTATTCTGTCCAGGATCATTGGGAGGATTATTTGATATGGACTGAGGTTCACTTTTTCCTTGGCTCATTTTCTGCGAAGGCATCCCATTCTGCTGATCCATACCCGACCGCCGGCGACAGTTGCAGTTACGGCTATGGCCAGAACCTCCTTCATCAGAGCAACCGCCACTTTTGTTCTCCTGGTTTGCCAACTTTTCCTGAAGTTGCTGGCACATGGCATCGTTATTCCGCTTCCAACTTCCACTGTAACATTTTCGATTTTCGTCAGGTATTCCTTTGCGATATCGAGGCTTCCACTCCCTGCGGGTTTGAGTACATAGCCTGGGACCTGGCCAACTATCTCTTGGTAATACACTATTGTTGGCCTCATTACCAATCCAGTTGCTCATATCAACGAAGACGCCGCTTTGATGGGCTCGCGGACTGCGTTTTGTTGTACAACCACATTGACTATTAGAACGATGTTGCCTAATTCTTAACATATCTTGAGATTGACTTCCACACTGACACTCTTCCTGAGAACGTTTCTTGTTAGTAGTCTTAGCTCTGCAACTACTTCGTGGCTTCAGGCAGCTGTTACTTATGGAATTAGAACAACGGTTTCTTCTCTCGCACGCTGCACAGGGATCATCTGCCTCCTCTGACTTGCATTGCAAGCAATAAGAAGTTGGATACCAACGATCATTGCCGGAAGTGTATCTTTCTTTATAGTTCTGTATGTGCTCCTCGTTTGGTGGTTCAGGTTCTAGGATCATCTTGTAGAAGGTGTAGTCTCGTTTTGTATTACTAGGGCATTCACTCAAAGAAACTGAAGGATAACAGAATGTGGCCTCAGAATAGTTCGGCGGATAAGTCGCTTTGATGGTCCTACTATCGTCTTGGATGAATACATCCTCCAAGACGCTAAAGTCTTGGTCCATACTGAAACTTGTATTGGACTACGGAAAAAAAGGGAATTAAGGTTCTGATATTGATGGGCCTACGAAAACACCTTTTACCTTTCTTATGTTCTCGTTTTGCTGGTTACCCAAGAAGAGTAGGTCCTCGAAATAAGAGTGTCTGGGAACATATTTGTAACCTTCAAGTTGACTAAGTCGGATAGCTTCACATTCCTTGGAGTAATAGTTCCGAAGAGCGAGAACCTGCAACTTCACCTGGTCAGGAGTTAATCCGCATCTCATTTGGCGCGTTATCCTTCGCCAAGCATCCTCCTTTACAGAAACACTATGGTATCCAGGAGACTGCGGATTCCACAGACATTCGCTTGATCGATATAGATGGATCAGCTTCTGGGTCTTTCTAAGCAGCTCTATATTCGAAAACGGTGTTGTTAACTTAGCTGCCATGTTGCCCCTCTGTCCTTTGCACTCATCCGTATCCACTCGGTGATCAATTTTCCATAGTGTTGTTCACCTGTAGCCTATAGAACTAGGAGTAGGGAACACTTAAAACAAAAGCTTGGAACTTTTTTATTACTTGCCCGAAAGCGGAGAATTTTTGACAGAAAATGCTTACTTAAATTAAATTAACTAAACATTTTCATTTTATGATACAACACAAGATCTAAATTTACATATAAATCGATAAATCTATAGATGCTTTATTATTAGATTTATTAAGAGCTTATTTATTATCAAAATATCTTTTTTAAACATTTAAAAAAACATCACACTATTTCCGTTACAATTTGAAAAAACACAGGGTGTCATAGGCACTTTTTAGGTATTTCTTTATTCGGAAAATGCATACAGTATATAAGTAGGATTTCCCTCTCAGCTTAGTGGTATTTAGCGTGGCATTCAGAACGGTCACACTGGCACACCGCAGCGAAAATAGTCAAAAAATATAGTTTCGAGTGCCACAAATTCCGACCCACTAACGTATGAGAGTGCATTTAACGGCCGCACTTAATCATTCCGGGCTAGTGCAAAAAGTGTACGCGGCTGCCAATATCAAAACCGCGTTTTATAACTCTACCATTTGACCAATTTAACATTTGTGTCTGGTATAACCACAAAATTTTCACTGCATCTATTGAGCCGCCCCCAACCCAATTTTCGCGAGTGCGACGGAGTCAAAGAAAAAACAACAGGGAAACGGAAAAACGGGCAAATAAGGAGTTCATTAGACCTCTCAGCAGTACCAGTTGCCAGTTAGTGCGGGATAGTGATTCGCGGATTATCCACGTAAACAGCTGCATGCGCAGAGGTCGCGCCCTAAGCTCCAGAGCAATCTCCGCCAGAAAGGACCATTTCCGCCGTGTAAAATGTCCGCGGAACGTGAGATTCCCGCCGAAGACAGCATCAAGGTGGTCTGTCGTTTTCGACCACTGAACGATAGCGAAGAGAAGGCCGGCTCCAAGTTCGTGGTCAAGTTCCCCAACAATGTGGAGGAGAACTGCATATCCATAGCGGTATGTGTTCCAGATCTAGATCGTTTATTTATCCCCACGCTCCCCCTAAAGTTCGTCTTGCTTTTCCCTATGTGTTATGCATTAATCTCTGCGTGCCGTGCCATGACGTCATGCCTATTAGCGTACATTACCCTTCCCCAAATTGCCGACCAATTGGAATGCCAGGCGAATAAGAGAGAGGCACTAAAGTTACCCATGAATAATTGCACAAAACAATCTACAGAAAACACAAAAATAAAAAACAAAACTTAGTAATAGATGATGAAACTAAAGAAACTACTCCAAATCAATATTGCTTTGCATTAAATTGATTTTCCCCCGAAACGACAAAGAATAGGGTGTGTGTATGAATCGAAAACAAGAGCGGGGGGTGAAGAAAAAAGACCACCCACTAGAAGGTTTTCTGCTAAAAGCGGGTGTTTCATTCTTTTGGGCCGCATAAATATGCGCTTTTCTAGAGTTTCCAGTCCGCCTTCATCGCTTACCTCACTTACATTTCCAAACACACACACACATACACTCCCCCTTAGCTGCCCCAACGTCCCCTTCCCGCTCAGTGAGTCATGCACGCAAACCATAAAAAAAAAGAAGGAAAACAATAAGAGCAACTTTGGAGGCAATGGAATTTAGTTGTATTGCTTTTATTCCACATGAAATGTTATTAGTTTGTATGTTATGAGTTTCCCGCTTTTCCGCCAACCGCTGTCCAGGTGCTATCCATCATTTTCCTGGTAAAAACTTGAGCAATTGAACCAGTTCCAAAAAAAAAATTCAGCACTAATATAGTGCCGCTATACACACAGACATTATCATTACTCTGCTTCTCTCTCTCTCTTTCTTTCGCTCTGTCTTTCTTCTGCCGCTCGTTATTCACTATTCTTCCCCCTTCCACTCACACACCATTTCTTAATGCTCATAATTACAATCTGCTTCGCGGCCATGCGTTGAAAATGATTTAAAAAGCAGTCAGCAGGAAAAAGTCGATGGAGAGAGAGGAGGGACTTGAATCTCAGAAAGAAATTTCACCGCAACTGACACCACTAAAAGTATATACTAAAACAAAAATTCATAATCCCCTCCGCCAACAGGGGAAGGTGTATCTGTTCGACAAGGTCTTCAAGCCTAATGCCTCCCAGGAGAAGGTCTACAATGAGGCGGCCAAGTCCATCGTTACCGATGTCCTGGCCGGATACAATGGAACGATATTTGCCTATGGTCAAACGTCCTCCGGAAAGACGCATACGATGGAGGGCGTGATCGGAGATTCCGTGAAGCAGGGTATCATACCACGTATCGTCAACGACATCTTTAATCACATCTACGCTATGGAGGTGAACCTGGAGTTCCACATCAAGGTCTCCTACTATGAGATCTACATGGATAAAATCCGGGATCTGTTGGACGTTTCCAAGGTCAACCTCAGCGTGCACGAGGACAAGAACCGAGTGCCGTATGTAAAGGGCGCCACGGAGCGATTCGTCTCCTCGCCGGAGGATGTATTCGAGGTGATCGAGGAGGGCAAATCCAATCGTCACATCGCGGTGACAAGTAAGTTATTTCAACCGTAACTTGAGGTCAAAACAAAGGCAGCTAAAAAACGCTGAAAATGCAAAACCAGATAGATGATGTATATGAAAAAAGATTTCCGTAGCTTTTACTTTGGAATATAAACTGGATATTGCAAATGTAATAAATTTAACATATGATTCTTGATTGCTAGTAATATTGAAGAATCTTAAATTTTCATTAGCTCTAATTTCACTAAACCATTGTTAAGAAACTTGTTAAAAATGTATACATATAATCAAGATGATAATTCTCATGAGTATATACATATGTATGATGAAGCACACAATTGTTATTAAAATTAGTCACTTGTTCTCATATTTTAATGATAAACTCAGATGATGTTATATTAAAAACTTTACTGATCGCCAAAACTTGTATCTAAATTTGTTCTTAAAACAAGTTGAATTATCTATTAGGCTTTCGAATCGATTAGAATTATGATTTAAATTATAGTGCCTTTGTTCTGATGACAAATTTATACCCTCTGTGCAAGAAATCCTTTTATAACGATTTTTCCCTCTTTTATAGACATGAACGAGCACTCTTCTCGATCCCACTCAGTATTCCTCATCAATGTTAAGCAGGAGAATCTGGAGAACCAGAAGAAGCTATCCGGCAAACTCTACTTGGTAGATTTAGCCGGTTCCGAAAAGGTTTCTAAGACAGGAGCCGAGGGCACAGTCCTCGATGAAGCCAAGAACATCAACAAGTCGCTGTCGGCCTTGGGCAACGTAATCTCCGCCCTAGCGGACGGAAACAAAACGCACATCCCCTACCGTGACTCCAAGCTGACGCGTATCCTGCAGGAGTCGCTGGGAGGTAATGCACGCACAACCATCGTTATCTGCTGCTCCCCGGCCAGCTTTAACGAATCGGAGACCAAGTCAACTCTGGACTTCGGTCGACGTGCCAAGACCGTGAAGAACGTTGTCTGCGTAAACGAGGAGCTTACTGCCGAAGAATGGAAGCGACGTTACGAAAAGGAGAAGGAAAAGAACGCCCGACTCAAGGGCAAGGTTGAAAAGCTGGAGATTGAGCTGGCCCGCTGGAGAGCTGGTGAAACCGTCAAGGCGGAGGAGCAAATCAACATGGAGGATCTCATGGAGGCAAGCACGCCGAATCTAGAAGTGGAAGCGGCACAGGCTGCGGCGGCGGAGGCGGCGTTAGCCGCCCAACGCACTGCCCTCGCCAACATGTCCGCTTCGGTGGCCGCAAATGAGCAAGCCAGGTTAGCGACTGAGTGCGAGCGGCTCTACCAGCAGCTGGATGACAAGGACGAGGAGATAAACCAGCAAAGCCAGTACGCTGAGCAGCTGAAGGAGCAGGTCATGGAGCAGGAGGAACTCATTGCTAACGCTCGTCGTGAGTATGAGACTCTGCAGTCAGAGATGGCGCGAATCCAACAGGAGAACGAGTCCGCCAAGGAAGAGGTCAAGGAGGTGCTCCAAGCTCTCGAAGAGCTTGCTGTAAACTACGATCAAAAATCGCAGGAGATCGACAACAAGAACAAGGACATTGACGCTCTTAACGAGGAGCTGCAGCAGAAACAATCTGTCTTCAGCGCCGCCTCCACCGAGTTGCAACAACTAAAAGACATGTCCTCGCACCAAAAGAAGCGCATCACCGAAATGTTGACCAATCTGCTGCGCGACCTTGGCGAAGTGGGTCAGGCCATCGCCCCTGGCGAGTCTGGCATCGACCTTAAGATGAGTGCTCTTGCTGGCACGGACGCCAGCAAGTTGGAGGAGGACTTCACCATGGCCCGTTTATACATCAGCAAGATGAAGACAGAGGCCAAGAACATTGCCCAACGGTGCTCCAACATGGAATCACAACAGTCTGATTCCAATAAGAAGATCTCCGAATATGAAAAAGACCTGGGCGAGTACCGACTACTCATCTCCCAGCACGAAGCTCGTATGAAGTCCCTGCAGGAGTCGATGCGCGAAGCGGAGAACAAGAAGCGCACACTCGAGGAGCAAATTGATTCGCTGCGGGAGGAGTGCGCCAAATTGAAGGCCGCCGAGCACGTATCTGCCGTCAATGCCGAGGAGAAACAGCGAGCGGAGGAGCTGCGCTCCATGTTCGACTCCCAGATGGACGAGCTTCGTGAGGCCCACACCCGCCAGGTGTCCGAGTTGCGAGACGAGATTGCCGCCAAGCAGCATGAAATGGACGAGATGAAGGATGTCCATCAGAAGTTGCTCTTGACACACCAACAGATGTCGGTCGACTACGAGAAGGTACGCCAGGAAGAGGCCGAGAAGTCCAGCGAGCTGCAAAACATTATCCTCACCAACGAGCGCAGAGAACAGGCGCGCAAAGACCTCAAGGGCCTGGAGGACACTGTGGCAAAGGAGTTACAGACGCTGCACAACCTGCGTAAACTTTTCGTTCAGGATCTACAGGTAAAATTTAAAACATCCGTGTGTCCTTTACAACCTCTCAACATTAACTTTCTATCCTTATTCCAACAGCAACGAATCCGAAAGAATGTGGTGAACGAGGAGAGCGAGGAGGATGGTGGATCCCTCGCACAGAAGCAGAAGATTTCCTTCTTAGAAAACAACCTCGACCAGCTGACCAAGGTGCACAAGCAGTTGGTGCGGGACAACGCCGATCTGCGGTGCGAGCTGCCTAAGCTGGAGAAGCGTCTGCGCACGACAATGGAGCGCGTTAAGGCTCTGGAGACGGCGCTCAAGGAGGCGAAGGAGGGCGCCATGCGAGATCGCAAGCGCTACCAGTACGAGGTGGACCGCATCAAGGAGGCAGTCCGACAGAAGCACCTCGGCAGACGCGGCCCCCAGGCACAGATCGCAAAGCCGATTCGTGCTGGCCAGGGCGCGATCGCCATTCGTGGTGGTGGCGCCGTTGGCGGAGCAGCGCCGCTGGCCCAGGCTAATGCTGTAAACTCGTAGATCCGATCACCACCCGTCGCCGCCCAGTTCAGCTCCGCTTTAAACTAAACTAAATGGATTACGTTATACATACTTAACATAACTGATAATTGCCTTCGCTTAGATGAGATGTCGTGTCGCGATCATGTGCAGCGCTTTAAATATACATACATATAATTTAATTAAATAAATGAGAGGAAACCGGAAATTAACTAAATTTTACAAACCGAAAATAATAAAACCCACAGATATGTAAGGACATCTATGTACGTTAAGAGTATTTATAAACTTTTCAAACATAAACCTAAATAAAAGTCGCAGACAAATTAAGGTCGCTTCAGTTTGATTCTATTTCCAGCTCAAAAAAAAGTAGTGAAGATCATTTGGCCACAATGGTATTGTATCTCCTGATACTACAGTCTCATGTTGTAGCCAGTTCCAGAAGTATTGTGGTGCTCCCAATCATCGGGAGAGTTTACCACCTGCCACTCGTACCACACTTTTGAAGCATCTACGCATCGCCAGAACTTGATGGATATTGTCTGTCCCTCCTTGAGAGTCCTTGGACGCTAAAAATGATAAATATTCAATTTTGCAGGAGTTGCATTAAGGATCTCAGCTTTACTTACAGTTGGGAAAAACATGGGGAACCAGGAAAACATGCCAGGCGTGTGAGTCAGCGGGTTGATGCTCAGGCATATGTCCTTGTACAAATGCGTATCGAAGTATCCGCCAATTCCGTGCAGCACACAATCCTTTTTGACTGTAAACGAAAGCACCTTGCTGCGAGTATTGTCTATTTTATCCGCTCGATTGGGATGCGTAAACTCAAACAAAGCTTGAGGCTCGTCAATATGGTAGATATTTTTTAGAAGCGACACATAACCATAGTCGAAGGCAGGCACGGTGGATAGCAATTGACTGACATTCTGGTGGAGCACCGCTGACATCAGTGGATTAATGTAGGAGGTAGACTTGTAGGGTATGCTAATCCCATCCGGTTTCAGCAGTTTTAAAGCTCCATCAAGGCACTCGGGCGAAAGTTCATTATCGCCAAAGGAACCAAGTAACTCGGAAACCATGATGTCTGCTAGCTCGGGAGGGGAAAAGTATCGCATGTCCTTTGAGAAAATGTGAACATCTGAAGGAAGGAACGAGGATTATGATTAAATTTTGTGTTAGTTTATTAAAGTTTCTTACCCTTGTTGGCCCAAAGGGTTTTAACCATGCTAGAGAGCGTCCGGATGGCATTGGGATTCTTTTCAATGATGTATAAGCGCACTTTGCGCTTTGTCAACTCGGCTGCATTGAAAATAGCCCTCGCTAGAGGACCTCGACCTCCACCTAGCAACATAACCACTATCTAAAAGGTTAACATATTAAAATTAATATTACTTGTTTTATATTTAGATAAATTCTGTTTGTTTTACCAATTTGCTTTTGGCCTCTGCATCACTGACACGGTCTAACAAAGCCGCCTGAACGGCATCCTGGTAAAGCTTGTATTTGACGGGGTCAGTTTCAAATACCTCATAAGTATAGCTGTCTAGATTTTCGAATAGTGGCTGCAGGGGAATCTCCAACATGTTTTCATAGCTAGCCAAAAATAAGAGGTTGATCTTCAGTTACTCAGAACTTCTATGCTTCACACCCACCTGTTTAACACGTGTGTATCGGAGTTCTCGCTAATTAGCTTCTTCACGTAATCCGCGTACTGGAGCAAGGCCTTATCATTTGGGTTCGTTGAGATGATGATGTTGGCCCGAACCGAGATAAAGTGTCCTATGATGACTTGCCATTCCTTCTTCAGTACACAATAGTTGGAGCGATTTCTCACAAACAGGGAAGATGGAATGATGATTGCCTCGACGGGTTCGCCCAACCAGCGACGCACTGTTTCCTTGGTCGGCCGATCCGAATCGTTTAGCTCTACTACAACCTTCACTTTGGAGCTTTCTTTGGTGGCGAAACGCAGGTTGTTCCACCAGTTCCACGGGTCATTGGATTCCGCCTGAGCAATCTCCTCTGCAGTGGCATCTTTGCGGTGCTCAAATGTGGCCAACTCTGGATTGGTGATGGGCACCTGTATGAACCAGTTCCCTAAAAGTAAAATAATCTTCAAATAATTTGTTCGGGGTATTCTCTGCAATATTCAGTCACTTACCCTTCGTTTTGTCCCGCACAATAGCCGCCAAATTATCATTTTGTGGACCGCGCAATCGTACCATTACGTTGCCAACGTTCTGCAGATGCTCCGCCCAGGCCACGTCCCGTAAAAGCACTTCCTTGGCGTGCTGGCGCAGCTTTGCATTTGGTGAGTCCACATCCACGTCGGACATGGTGAATATCACCTTGGAATTCCAGTCTACGGCGCTAAGAATGGTAGCCGGATAAGTTGGATCCGATTCGTCAGGTTCGAATGGCACCATGTTGGCATTGATTGAGGTGGCCACCACATTATAGTTGTTTGAATAGGCCTTACCGATCAGCTTGGGTATATCGCTGACTCCCTCTTGGTGCAAACAGATGTAGTAATTCATTTTAAATCTGCACTCTGCCTCTTCAAAAAGGCCAAAAAATGCGGTGACCGGTGTTAATGTGACCGTATAAGGGGGAAATGTAAATAATCAAAATGGTGGGGCCGCACTGCATAATCCGGATAATACTGCATTTCAGCCAATGTTGTTGAAAATTTTTGTGTCGTTTGCCAATTCTTGTGTTTTCCCGAATTTATATGATAAGCAATAGCTTCCGGGCCTCAAATAGCATGTAATTGTGATTGTTCATGGCTAACCGCGATGTATTCTCCAAGATCCTGCCAAATGTCAAGTTGGGCACTCGCTACGATGAGGATGGGCGTGAAGTTCAGGTGAGTCGATTCCATTCGGCCGGGATTCCTGTTGTTTTAACTTAACTTATCTATTTTAGGTGGAACGGCGCGAAGACTCGGATGCCACGGCCAAGGAGCAGGACACCTTCGATATCCTTGTTGCTGCAGGATATTACAGGGCCCGCATCAAGGGTTTATCCGCCTTTGATAAAGTTGTAGGAGGAATGACCTGGTGCATCGAGTGCTGCGATTACGATGTGGACGTGGACCTGCTCTTTCACGAAAGCCTTTCCATAGGGCAAAAGATGTATGGATTCATTCAGGAAAGTACTCTGGCAAAAAATATGTTATATTTTTATGATTTACAGAGCTTTGGTGGAAAAGATCGTATCTGTTCTTATAGACATGAAGTGTCCACACAGTTTGGAACCTCATCAAGTGCAGGGTCTCGAGTTTCTAGCCATACATCCTGTCATCCAATGGCTGGTAAAGACCTCTGTAAGTAGTCCATCATAATAAAAATAGTTATGCATTTATAAAAATTTTTCTTTCAGGTGGAAAATCGAGCGGAGCGTGGACAGCGCTTAAAGAGATTTGCCATAGGTCAGTTTCACAATCACTATCAGTACAAAAGCGACAAGGACAATCTCACTAAAATACGCCTGGCCTCCACCCACATAAGGGCTATTCAGGAGCTATACTGCCCAAGGAGACTGTATGAACGGCAGGAAGCTCCTGGGGATGATGATGTGTCTCGGGTTCGTCTTACTCTCTTAGAGTACGGAGATCCTGGACCAACGTTTAAGACTCGTGCTGAAAGAAAAGCAGAGCAGGGCCCTGGTGAAGTAGATGAGGTGGCTTTTACATTGATATTTTATATTTATTATCTAACAGCTTCCTTGTTGTTTCCAGCTCGATTTGGAGGAATATCTACGCAGCCTTTCCCTTGTAAAGGATGACTTAACGGCCACTCAGAAACGCATTGATCTGGATCCTACAGCCCGTCAGGAGCTACAACAGCACTACGCTGAGTTTAAGCTGGAAATGGAAACAGATGCCGAAGAGCTGAAGACACAAAACCAACAGAAACGTCTCGAAGCGGCCAAAATTGCTCTTGAACACAAAGTTCGGCGCTACTGCAAAGATAACGAACAACTGGAGGAAGTTGAAAAGGAGCAAAACCAGAAGACCAAGGAAGTAGAGGACCATTTAAGTACACTAAAAACTGAGATCAAAGCACACAAGGACACGCAGGATAATGCAGATCCAAAGTAGGTTGAAGGTTACCAACATTTCTATTTAGGCTTTAATTCAATGTATTTTTAAGGCTCCTTGAAAAAGTACAGAGCTTGCTGCAGCAACATGAAGAACTGAAGAAAAACGAGGCGGAGTTCAAGGAATCCTGTCGCACTGATTTGGCCAATCTGCAGCAGCAAATCGAGTAAGATCTTTTTATTTATTTATTTATTTATTGAATTAACTATCTTAATTAATCTTTTCTCGTCGTTTTCAAGTGACCTGGAAGCCTTTAGTGCCCAAGACGCGGAGGCTCAGGCTGCAGCCTTGGCTAGCGAAGAGAATCGCCTGAAAGAGTTGCGTCTGCAGTTGGCTAAGAGGAATCGCGGAATCGTGGCCATTGAACGAAAGCTAGATGCCATACCCGATCGCACAGAGTTGGCTCAATACCAGCGACGATTCCATGAACTTCACAACGAAATGAGCGGCAAGCACCTGGAAACCAAGCAATATTACACCTTATACAATACACTCAACGATAAGAAGCGTTACCTGGAGAAGGAGCTGGCCCTTCTCAACTCCATCTGTGAGGCGTACAACGAGGGCATGATGAGTCCGCACGGTCGCGAGGACTTTATCCGCCAGTTCGAGTCCATTGTGGACGGAGTGAAGAGCGCCCAGGACAAGGTACGGCACAAGTACAACGAGGAGCGGATGCGACGTGATGAGCTGAACGAGGAGCTGCAATCGCTGTTGGAGCTGCAGCGCCAGTACGCTCTAGCTGTCAAGCAGCTCACACGCGAGTGCCAACGCTGCGAGCAGCTGCAGCAGCAGCTCAGGTCAATTAGGGGCAGGACGCAGTCCTAAACCGTTTTAACTATTGATTAATTAACACGAAACACTCATAGCGAATTCGTTCAATAAATTATATCGCCCTTATTGTAGTGCAATTATCCAAGAATCCAATCAATCGTTGTTATCCAAGGATTTCCCTCGAATGCGAATCGAGTGCACACATCTGTCAAGCTTAACTTTAACCTTTGGCACTTTTGCCTCTCATTTTTCATATTCCCATATATATTCGAGTATTTATGGCATTCCTGTCAATGCGCTGGGTCAGCAGTTTATTTCCATACAGAACTGGCTGTGATAAAGCATCCCACATGCACTTCCCAGTATAATTTGCATATTCGCATTGCTGCCGCCAGCTCACTTTATTCCATTCCATTTGGTTCTCTAATTAATATGCGGACCGCTTAGCGGCATGCCGAGCAATCAGAGCCACTTCAGGAACCCCGGACGGACTCCAGGACTGCATCTGGTGCTTGCGGTTAATTAATGTCCTTGCACCTTAACATTGAATTCAAGCTGAGCCATTGCAATTACATTTTATTGCGTGGCAATCAATTCCATTCAACAAGTGACATTGAGACGGAGCAGAAAATAAAAAAGGGAGAAAGAGTGAAGAGGATTGTGGCCCACTTCCTGTCTTCAGCCTTCGGCCATTTGGCCAAGATAAATTTCCAGCATATGACAAATATTTAAAGCGTGGGACCTCCGGCAAAGGTTAAACCGGAGTCCTTGACAGACATTTCACAACTAACTTTATGGGAACTCTGCTCCCGGCTGCCATTGTCTACTCATTCCACGACTAAATCGGCCTTATCGAACTGAAAGCACACCCATATAGAACCAGTCAGGCATTCCCACCCATATATATATATATATATAGTCCCTATAAATATATGTGTAAAATGGGTGTTGGGTGATTGGCGGAGTCATCCCCCTTCGTCTCTGGATAAAAAGTGAAAGCCAACAAGGGCCCATATCCTCCCGCGTTTCCTCATTTGTATTTGCTTTGGCATTTCGCCCGTCCAAACACACAAAGGCTCAATGGGAATGGGATCGAATGGGGATTGATTGGGGATGCGACAAAGAGGTCCACCACACACGCACAAGCATAAGCCTTGACAAAAGTCAATCAGCATATTTGCTCGATTGGAGGGAGCATGCCAAGCGGATAATCGATTCGCAATGTGTTTGAATAACAAATTACTGGAAATTGTGAATGCGAAAGTCATTGTAGCACAGAGCCCTTCCTCTTTCTGAACATGAACATGAACAGGGAGTACTTTTCGGTGATATCGGAGGAGGGATTAAAATGTATGCAGCTGTCAGTGTCGGCGGATTTTCGATTCCCAACATCTCCATCCTGACAGCCTCGGAATCCCCGATGCCACTTGTTGGCCTTTGCCATCTTGTTTGGTGAGTGAACTTGTGACTTGAACTATTGAACTTTGGGCTCAAACAATGAACTGTCCTTACTATTTGCTCCTTCCTTTCAAGCTCCTTTAGCTTACAGTTAGAGAAAGTTTGAAGATTTGAGTTTTAGGTTGTTCTTGCAAGTGCACTGAGTGTTGATAGCTTTCCTTAGGTTAGCTAACTGATCAACTAATGCAAAATGTTGTAGCTAAAAATATTAAACATTGAATTTTATTAATAAAAATCATAAGGTCTGAGAATTATTGGGATTTTAAAAAGTTTAGCTTAATGAGGATGTTGAAGTCAGAAAATCTCGCCTATAAAATATTCAATCGTGTTTTCTAGCTTATTAATAACATTTTTTAAATTTTCAACTTAATTTATAGCATTTTTGAAGTGTAATAAAACCGAAAGCAATAAACGTAGCCATGCACAGATGTTCGAGGAAAACTTTATCCCCATTTGAGTTGAATGAAAGGGAGCAAACCAATGTGGCTAGCTCGACCATATAATGTTCTGGCCAAGTTTAATCTAATTTCTGCGGCATGTGAATAATCGTGCCGAATTAGTTGTGTTCGATTTGGTCAGATGTCAGTGCACCTTATTTTTGTCAACAAAGAAACTTTTCCCCCACGTCTGGGATCCTCTTCACTACTCCGGGGACAACATATGTGGCAGACAAGTTTAAATCAAGGCCAGAACAAAAAGCGAACACTGCATGCATTAATCAACTTCAGCAAATGAACCAAGTTGGCCCCGGGGCCGAAACCCAACCAAATGGCAATCCGAACTTATGACCCTGACCCCAGAAGGAATCAGCAAAGAGCACCACAACTCCCATTCCCTTTAAACCATCAATTTGTCAATGTGTCAGATGATCAACCGAAACCAGTATTGGAGCATTGATTTAATTAATTTATGTTATCCGTACGGGCCTAGCAACAGTCGACTATGGTAACTCTGGCCAGGATGCTAGGATGCCAAAGAACGCCGGGGATGCTGGCATCCTGCTAGATGCCTGCTCCGCAGGACATGTTCAACAGGTTGGCCAGCTTCCGTAGAGCGAAGAGCTTTTCGTGTCGTGGAAAAAGCTCACCCGAACCCGAGCACAGCACTCATGAATGAAAAGCAGCCGGATTCGGTTCGGTTCAGCTTCAGTGTATCAGCCTCTGCTATTGCTTCTGTTTTCAGTTTCCGGAGCTCTCATTGCGCCGCCAACCGGGCAAGCGAACGTACACGGCGCGGATTCCTCCGTCGAGATCATAAAATATACAAAAAAAAAGGAAGACGTCTCGAGATCCCTTTGCGCGGCTCCATTCAAACCACCAAACAACGGAAAAAAAGGGCCAGCCGTCACATTTGATTTGAATTTTAATTCAATAAAAAAGTGCACAAGAAAAATCATAATAATAATAATAAAAAAAGGATATCGCAGCAGGCAGCAGCAAATGTAAATGCCTGTCATTTCGAGTCCTCCCCCGTGTCCCGTGTCCATGTGCTGTTGTTCTTCTAGTTGTTGTTGTTGTTAAGTGTTGTTTGTGAAGTCGCGAGGCGTAAAAAATATTCAAATTTCATGTTGAAATTACTGCACGCATTCTTAAATAATCCAATGCCAGCACAAGTGTGCAAAAAATAAGGAGACTCGGCTCGACTCAAAAGGCGACGCCAAGCGTTTGCTAATAGGATTACGCATCACCTCCGGTGCTGACAGAGTCCAGGATTAGCAGGATCCACTTGAAGAGCACCCCAGAACGGCACCGAAAAGGTACAGCTCTAAGTTAACCCAAAACCGACAAACAGGCAGCAGGCAACAGGCTCAATAATCACAGTGACTAAACTATGCTAGACCACACGGCGTATGCGTGATTTCCATGCCCATTCCATTACGATATTGATATCGGTCTGCCTAATTGTTAACTACAGCCATAGAACACACACAGAGAGCGGCGAATTAATAACGAACTTGGTGCCATATTAATTGGCATCCGCAGAGCAGGAGGATACTTTTTTTTTGGCGGAGGGTTGGGAGGTAGGGGGGTACTTCAAGAGGAGCAGTAAACTCCATAAATATCACATTTTATTAAACAAAGCCCGAATCCATTTGCGTTATTGCCTTTACGTGCACGAATGTTAATTGAAGTCACCTCACCTTTTCAGGACGGTGGCAGTTCCACCTGTACCCCCCCTTTGTTCACCCCTTAACCCCTATAGCTTCAATGCTAAGCCCCCTGATGCCCCGCGAAGCACTTATCATGCCAGCAAAACCACCAAAACAGATTAGATAAGTCGATGGCTGCGGAATGATTAGCGAACAAAGGGGCACTCGGTAGGTGGATGTGGATATGGATGTGGATGTGGTAGTATCTCTGCAGGATGAGCAAGTGAGAGCACTTGTATGCGGGAAATGAATATTCATAATGAGGCGCCAGTTACACATTTCCCGTCGAACCATGAAAAGCAAATTACGCACAAAATAATTGACATTAGCATATTTTGTGCATCCCGTACATTAAGTGTATCCCTGCTCTCTCTCTGTGTGTGTGTCTACGCGTGTATATATCCTGTTTTAGAAATTTCTTTCAACTTCGTTTTCCTTTATATTTCCCCTCTCATCGTTTCGATTGAACTTGAAATTCCCTTTCTCGCAGCCACATGGCGTATACGTGATGCGTCTGAGAGGATTAAAAACAGCTAGCAAAAAGAGGGTGTATATTGTACTAAGCTAAGTGTTCGAGTGGGAGCCCTGTTCTATATATTGAATAAACATTTCTTTCTTTTTTTCTTTTGTGTGTGTGTGTGTGTGTTTGGCCCAGCTCTGTGGGAAGTTCTAATTGATACCCCCCAGCTGACAAACGGAAACGGACAGTGGACAAGGGAGGCCGAGGATCGAAATTTGTTTTCAATATGGACATGTGTTTACTTATTTAGGACTCTTGGTCCTTTGTACCCTCGTCTCCAGCCACTTGGACAATCATAATCCCCACTAAAAGAGGCGAGTGTAAACGATTCCATGGGGCATAAACTTCACACGTTCCCCCAGTATCGCTTTACTTATCCCCATGGTGCCACTAAATCATTACAAATAAGACACATCGATGCAGTGGGAAAAAGAAGAAGGAAATATGTTGCCATTTTGGCAATTTATTTGGGGGACTTTACTGGAAATATTATACCAAATGGTGCATGTTAAAGTTGAGAAAATTTGTGAAAATTATTCTTTTAATTTCTAAATTTAATTTTTTTTAGTAAATGAAACGATTACTAACATGCTTTTTCAATTCTCCATATATAGTTAAACATCCTACCTAAGTTTTTCACAAATTCCTAATATCAAATTCTGAATAAATATTTTTCTCCTTCCCTTTGCTTTCTTCAGTAATAAAATTCCTCCTCAATCTGTTTTGATCTCAATTAATTTGATTGTTAAAGTAGGTAATGAATATATTGTTATGGCTTTACCAAAATTATATGGCCGAGTTATGTATTTTTCCATGTGCACACACACACACAGACTCACACACAGTGGGGGCCAACATTTATGGCTCGTTAGCAATTGACTTGGAGAGGAGATGAGGGATCAGGAAGATGAAATTATGCCAGAGGCAGAACGAAAAGTTTGTCTAATTTTGAAGTTGCTGCCAATGAGGTTGCGGTTTGCCTTTGTGGCCCATGGGTTAATTGCCTAGATATCCCGCTGCAGGACGAGGAGTTCCATTGGCTTGGCCTGGGCCAAAACGAAAAAAGATGCAAACAACCAAAGTGGCTTTGCCAGAAGAGCCACATTTTATCAAAGTCAATTCTTATCTGCACGAAAAATGTTTGCAGCTGAAGTTGATAAATGGATTTACTTTGATTTTATAGCTAAAAATCGATGCTGTACGACAAAGAGGGGTGGTAGTATGGGAAACCCCACTGTACTTGTGCCATTTGAATCCCTTTTGCCCTAGAGTCAAATTCGAGACAATGGACCAAAACAGGAGCGGTCAAAGACATCGAAATGTAGCCCCTCATGCCCCTCTGAGTCATCGAAGGATGGCACTTCGCTTGGCCAAAAACCAAAATTGCACTTAAAATTGAATGCTTGGCTGGAGGAGCGTGCAACCCAAAGATAATCTATGACATAAAATCACGCGACAGTAAACGCTGCTGCTTAATGCCAGACAAAGGGAACGGACAAAGGATCAAGCTGCAACTTGTGTCTTCTACATACCTTCTTGTTTTTTTGTTGTTTTTCTTATTTTTTTTTGTGGCAACCACTCGACTGGAAATTACATAAAAAATTTCCCATTGCCGCTTCGTTTTTGCGCTCGTTTTGATTATCAGCCATTGCATTTGCATTCCCATTCGTATTCGCATTCGCATTTTCATTTCCATTTTCAGTAGCAAAATTCCATTCAATGTTTTCTTTTTTTTTGTGAGTCACAGCTGCATTTTATCTACAACTGTTGAAATTTTTGCTCATCTGGCAGCTTGTATTTATCATTTGCGCATCATTAGCTCGCGTCTAAACGGAATTATTTATTTGCCTTCGCTTGCCGAGTGGGAACTTTCTTTACTTGGACAGCTGCTGCTGCTGCTGCTGTCTCCAGAATCCTTAGAACTCCTCAATTAACACTAGCTGAAGTGAAAAAAGTTGTACATTAAGGATTTTCTGAGCGTCTTTTCCAAGCGATTTAAGTTGAATCAATTAATTACGAAAGCCAAGTAAAATTTTCGCAGTAATTTTTGTTTATTTACTGAAGCTAACGAATATTTCAGCCAACTATGTTTTCCTTTCTGTATAACCAATCCACAAGGACCCTTTTAAACATATAACATTTAATGGATTTTCAAAAAGGGCTTCAGTTTACCAGGAATTTGCGTGCATATGGCAAGAGAATTCCCTTAAGTATATAGGAATGAGAAACCCAAGTAGTTGCCTTAATCATTTACCATCAGCATTAAATGCTTTTCTGATTACCTGCCGAGAAAGTTTTATAGTCCACAGAGTTTCTACTGGCAGCCCTATATGCTCTGGTCCTTCTCCTTTTCCTCCAGAATCCTTCAATGCTGTGCAACTTTTTCCACATGAGGAACAAGCAGGATGGCTCCCTTGAACAATTTCTGTTGCCTACCTCGAGGGGCAATTTAAAAATTTCGAACCGCAGACTGTTTCGTAAGCCAACAATTTTGCATTTAATTGCTTAATTACTGCAACACGGGCAGACATCCCAGAGGCACAACCCCTGACCCCAAACCCCCGCAGTACTCCAGCCCCCTCCTTGGCCACTAAGCGGCTGGCATTTATGTTTACGTCTCTCCAAGTGTTTTATGGTCGTGCAGAAAGGAACATTTATGACTGCTTGGGGTCCCCGGGTGGTGCTGCAGCTTGTGGGCCGTTTGACGATGGGCGTGTCCAGACCACAATTGCCGCCAAGTGGGCGTTTAGGCACTAGGGCCACAAACAACTTAAATTCTGGTCCACAGATGAATGCAAAAGTTTTACACTCTCTTATTTTTTGGTCTTCTTTGCAGACTCCTTGCCCCGCTATTCATCATGTTGCTCATGGGTTCATGCCTTGCGTAGCTGCATTCCATTCAAACGTCCAGCTTAGCTATGTGGACATATATGATGGCTGCCGCCCGCGGAGATCGGGTCAACACGATGATGTCCACCCGGAGACGCCCCGAAACCGAGTCCCCCAAATACGGTTACAAGTAAGTTGATTTCTTACTTACATATATGATTTTATCATAATAAGTGATAGATTTAAGAAGGTATTGGATTGAATTAACATATAAAATTGCGAAACAAAATGAGATTTCTTTACGTCAGCTTATTTGATTCATCAACTATTTACCAATAGCCTTTCCAACCGTCCCATGTACCGCACCACCCGTTTTGTTGGCCCCGCCTCCTCGGCGCCCGCTCAACTGCAACTGCCCTGTGGATCCCATCAGGCAGCTATGGGCGTGGCACCTCCACCGCTCGAGGAGATTAGTGGCGGTTTATTCGCCCCCTTTGCGCCAACGGCAACGATTACGCTAGAACAGGCAGCTACCTCGATTCCAATGTCAGTGGATGGCGAGGTTCACCACCTTCACTATCCACGTCGAAGTTGGCAACGGAAATATCGCCAGGGGAATCATCGTCAGTCAGGAGTAGAGCCCGAAGAGGATGAGGACGAGGATGACGACGACGACGATGAGGATGACGAGGATGAGGATGGTTTCAGTGCTGCCGTGGGCGATGATAACCCGGAGGAGGCGATTGCTCGGGCTGACCAGCAGCAGAAGCAAAACTATCAGCCAAATGCCAGCGATTCCAGTTATGTGGAAAATGGCAGAAAGCTGATACAGGTGAGCTTGTAAAGAGTAGCTAAGTAGCTCATTATCAGATTCTAACAAAGTTTCGATTTAAATTTTAAAGCTAGAAAGTGAAATTTCTCTTTCATACTGAAAAATATTTAAAAGAATGTAATTTTCTTGTAGATTATAAAATATTCTTAAATATTTCACATTCATTTCATATTCATAACGTAACTACAGGCATTTTCAAAGTGTGCAAATCAATTTGCAAGGATGGCCAATGTGGCGTATACGTAATTTGATAGCATTTACAGATAAACGTTCACTGATAAAACGATAGCCAATAATCCGCATTCAATAACTGATACATTATGCTCATGGCCAGAGCCAGAGCCACAGCCAGAGCCATAACGGTTGTATTTCCATTCTGTCCCTGGCCACAATTCAATTATGTGGAAATGAAATTAAGTAATTGCTCTAATTGATTGACGCGTTGTCCTCAGGAGGCGGAATTGGCCCAGTTTTTTTGTTCGTCAAGAACTGCGGGTAATAGGAACTTCGCATTGTCTGCATAACTCCCCGCAGACTTGCCATACCAGACTCGATGCAAATGAACTGGGCGGACCTTCATAAACTTGACCTTGCCATTAAATCGCGTTTTAATTACTTCCTCTATTGTCACGTAGCCGAGGCATCGCCCCAAGTCGTCAGCTCTGCCCACCCCCCTCGATGAACCCTTAGTACCACCTCCAGTTGAATGCCATTTTTGGCTACCCGCAGAAATTTTTATTAGCACGTGTCAATCGACTTAAAACACTGAAAAAAGAGAGACAAAAAAGGCGGCTATGAGGTGCTTTATTTGGGGAAGGAGGCTTGGATTGGTTTTTATAAGCTCTAACAAAGGAAAGTGCGTTGGCAAAGGTGAAGGTGATAGATTCATTGTTGGAGATATGAGCCCCCAATTTAGAGAAATTTATTAAAAGATTATTCATTTTATTCAAAAACAAAGAACTTTAAATCATAACAAGATTTAAACTTATCCAAAGACAAGACTATAACTTAAAGTGAAAATATTGTAAAATTTCATGCAAATTCCTAATAGGCATTTCCATTTTCTAATTTGAAATGCAAAGCTTTTGGAAAAACAAGCTCTTCTGCTGGTGTCCTTTGACTTCCGTATCTTAAATCTCTAACTTGCCGCATCTCGCCTTTCAAATCAACTTACTTAAGTTGAGCTGCATTTTTCGTTCCGTTCGCTTCCTCTGCAATCCTCATCAGCAAGATGCGAGATCTCTCATGTCCTGTCCGGGATAATTGCATTACTTAGGTTTCCTTATGGATAAAAAAAAGAGAAGGAAACCAGACTTCTTCTTCCGACCCGCAGGGCTATAAATAAGTGAGTGTGTATTTCGGTTAGGGCGGGGTGTTCAACATGGAATGTTGAACTGAGAGGAGGGTGGCGGCACTCCATTGACAGTTGGCCAGCTGGAGGATAACAGGACGCAGACTAAAGCTGGGGGAAATTGAGGGGAAAGCGGAGCCAAGGGCGACAACCAATTTGATAGATAAGAGACTCGAGTTCCTTTCGCCTCCGCTCAAAGTGAATGAAACGCAGGGCAAAAAACCAGCAGCACAAAACTGTTTCAATGTCATTTCATAAATGGCAACGGCAATGCCAATACCAATACCGAAAGAAAAACGCAATGAAATAAATACAAATGAAAAGCCCTCGAAAGCCCCTTCCTCTCTCTCCTCACCTCTGCCCTGGGCCCTAGAGTTTCCCGGGGACTTTTCCACTTTCATTTCATGCCCGCATATCGTTGTGGTTGTCTGTTGTCTGTTGTCGTCCAAATATTGGCTTGGTCGTCGCTGGTCCGTTTGTTAATGCTTTTGAGGTGTGTTCCGAGTGTTTGTCCAGCAACAGCAACAGCAACAGTAACAGCAGCAGCAGCACAAACAGCTAAAGAAAAGCCAAGGAAACCCCAAAATGCTGGCATTGTGGTTATATAAACGTCCATTACTCAAAAATTGGGCAATAGGAGGTGGAGGATTCGTTTGAATGAGGCAAACTTTATAGAATTGGCATTGAAAATATGACAAGTCTCGTGCCAATCCAAAATAGTTACAAGTCCTCGAGAGTTGAACAGCCCGGACAACAGCGATGTGTATCCTTGTCAGCTGGTCCGTACAGTCATTCAGTCATCCAGTCATGCCATTAAACCGATTAATGAACTCTATTTGCCTGGCCATACCTGCGTGGGTGCACTGAGAGAAAAAGTTCTTGATAGTATTCAGTTCTTGATTGCAAAGATATCAAATATCAGAGAATATTCTGGTTGCCTAGAAGGAGTTTTTAACAATTTTGAAGTCATTTTCTGTTTAAATTCCTTAAAAATTGTTCCGACGATCAGCTTACTTTTATCTTTACCAAATTGTAATACACATTTTCTGCCAGTGTCGATGTTGGCTCGATTGCCTTTGCTCTAATGTAGTTGTTGCTGTGCAATTTGAGAAGGCGGCAGGACACTCAACACGCCGATGATGGCAATCGGAGAAAGTGAGACAAGGATAGTGAAAGAGAAAGTTAGACAGAGATAGGGAGAGAGAGAGAGAGAGAGGGAAAGGATGTAGACAGGGGAAAGGAGCGAGAGCAAACAGCGAAAGTGCGGTCTGTCCGCAGCGGACATTCCGCTTAGTCAAAATTTTTTTGCCCCATCGACAGTTACGAAAAAAACGCGTTCGCAGGCGGCAGCTTAGGCGCTGGCAGGCAGTAACTTTGCAATAAATAAAATTACTAAAAACAAAAAACACGAAGAACAGAAAACAATGTTGAACTCGTCAACTAATGCGTTTGGTAAACAATCGAAAACAAGGCTTAAAAATTGAAGCGGCAATAACAAGAAACAGCAACGACAACAACTGGATTTCCATGTTGATAAGGGTCTCTCCCTTCGATTCCCTTGTAACTTTTTAAGGAAAAACACAACAATCAGGATTAATATTGGGTGGAGGGGGTGTGGATATACTCATAGGCAAAGGAGAAACAATCTGGCATTAGTCAGTTTATCAAACGGACCTTGTTATCGTTTAGGCCCTCTCCGATAAGCATCCAGCTTACGGTCATCGTCATCCAATCTGCGTCGCAATTTGCATAATTTCCCACGTTCCCAAACGAAATCACAATCAATATAAATAAATATACAACTATCGGCTGTATCAATAGCCGACATTCAAGTGATAAAGTGCACGGGTTTCGAAAAACAAAGGGGTTAAACCTTCGAATCCATCAATTGATAAGATATCAGATTGCTGTTATTCATCCTGTCATGTATTGAATTTCAAGTTAATTTCTCTACAGAAAACTGTTAAGAAATACATTAACGGTCTTTGGAGGGAAGTCCATTAAGAAGAAATATATATATAGATATAGCTGATGAAAGTGTGATTATAACTATAAATCTTATTAGCGCAAAATTCAAAGGTTTCCTAGTTGAGTTATAGATACAGCTATTGGCTCTTCTATTAATTCAAGAAACTATCATTTTTCTAAAAGGAATCTTAACACCTGAGTCACTAACTCACACATGATAAAGTGATAAGATCCCAATCCTGCACTTGAAAACCTATCAAATAGCTCTTCTCAACCCATTACCTATTCAACACCCATTTAAGACACCTTCTAATCCTTTTCAAACACCCCTTTCACCCCCAAATAAGCTTTAGTTTACCACTCCCCCATTTTGATTTCCTCAATTACGACCAAGCCATTTGGTCTTTTCTAACTCGCATTTTTATGGTCTAATGCCATGGCTAAGTCATGTTTTTATGGGTTAAATATCAAAAGCCCACGCATGCCATAAACGGTGATATGAAAACGCTTGATTTGCTTAACATAAAGTTACCTGGGCAGGTGTAAAAAAAAAAGAATGGGAGGGAATGGGGGATTTCGGCCTAACGGACTCGCAATTATGGAAATTTATTGTGAGTTCCACGCTGCCAGTGCGCTGTGAATGCCAATCAGGGGCTGTGGTCCGATGATAATGCCAATGTTGGTCGATTCCCTGGGTCAGTATTTCGATTTCGATGCCAGCCTCAAGTACGGCCAAAAGTTAAATTCAAAAAAAAAAAAAAAATTAAACAAAAGCCGCTCGAAATTTGTGCCTAACCTTGCAATTGGCAAAATACTAAACGATGATGAGCTCATTGAAAATCAAAAAAATTATCGACTAACAGGAAAAAACTGATCTAACGCACCGGCTATCCGTCAAATTGATTGCAATTAATTTATGCACAAGCTACCCGATATTAACCCCCGGCTGCCCGCGGTCGAAAACTCAGCCTTTCAGCCTAATTGAAACCGCATTGGCTTGGGCAATTAAAAAGCATTTAGACTAAAACGACAAACGCCGGCCGGTATAATCAATCTTGTCGATTTAGTTAGGAGACATCTTCTGGACGCTGAAGGACCAAAGTCACTGGAGACTTCAACTTCATCCGTCCGTCGGTGGTGGTGCAAGTTAATTAATTAAAACGCGGCAGCGCGATGAGTGGCGATGCAAATTAAGAAAATTGCAAAACAGCATTCCGAATTGACAACAGCAGCTAGCAAGCAAGCCACTTGCTTTTTACTATTGTCCGGCACAGTCAAGCTTCTGTAAAGTGAACTATAGTTTGCAGAGTTTTTGAAATCATAAGTTAACTTACGAACTCAAAGTTTTTAAAATTAAACTTATTTACGCGACTTTAAATCGTATATAACCCCTAACCCTAAACTAAAGTTCGTGTTATAGAAGTTCTACTGTGGTTTATTGTGTATGGATGTCGTGGTTTTGGTCAGTGGCAACTTCTCTGCCACCGCCGGCGTCGCTGCCTCGCCTTGGACAAGTCAAGTGTTTTGGCGGCAGTTATCAGTATGAACAGTTTGAAAAGTCCGCTCGACGCAACGGAGCGCATGCGCGCAGCTGTTGACCAAAAACTAACCGTTATTGCCGCCGTTATTGTTATTGCCGCAGACCAAAATCGGAAGTTCTAAGGTGCAAGTGAGAGAAAAGATTGCCAGTTAAAAGAGACTAAAGAGAGAGAGAGAGAGAGAGAGAAGAGGAGAGGAGACTCGATTTGTATGCGACATTTCAAAGTCAAAACCATGGTGCAGTCGTTGGATATATCTGCCATAACGGGACAGCAAACAGATGCGGTAAATCCACCTACACACACACACATTACCCACTCACACATGTAAAATGTAAATGGCCTTCGAACCTACTTACACATACATACACGCAGCGGGGGGCGTGGCATTGCATTGTCATTTGCCATTTGCCATTGCCCGCCCAACGAGGCGTATGCGTCATATTTTCTGCGTTTTTCCCTCGCTTTTCCCATTTCCCATATATTTTTTTTTCTCGAACTAAAGATGGCTTAATGGATTAACCGCTGCCGGCAACTGATAAGCGTTTATTAGACTGTCAAGCACACGCCTTTAATGGGTAGAAAACTGGTACATAGACAGAACTCAAAATGGTTGAAAACCGTAGTTACTTCTAGGGTATTACATTTGCTGGTGTGTGTTTCAGGTTCCAGAAGATTTTAGGAAATATTTTAGAAAATTATGAATAATCTTCACTGGGTTTAAATTCTATTGTATGCCTAATTACGATACAATGTTTATATAGTTTACTAATTTAAACTTTAAATGCTAGAATGTTAAAAGAAGTACCTTAACTAATACAAATTTTATTTAATGTTTGTATTTTGTATAACAATTAAATGATAAGCTAGAATCGCTTCCGAATTTCATTAAATCCTTTTAAAAACCGCATGAAATCTGTACTTTATTAGATTTTCAGTTTGCTTTAAATACTGGCAGTAAAGCTGTCTAGCAATTGGCCGCGTCATTCCGTTGGCAGACATAACAAAATTTAAGCACCAAACTTGGATGCTGACCAAGTTTTAATGTGGTTAGAGGGAGAAAGAGCCAGAAAAAAGAGATACCCATAACCCGAGCACTAAAACGCTTCAATTAGTGAACGTTCGGCGAAACTTTTCCCTTAACTTATACCAGAACGTTACGCTTTTAACCCACTCCCGGCTCCACAGGGGGAAATTAAAAATTTTGATAAATATTAATATTTTTAAAACTCATCATATTCGATTTTAAGTCTATACTCAAACAAATTTAAAAACAGAGTTTCATTTTCGTCACTTTTTTGAAATACATCCTTACATCTTTCTTGTGATAATTTCTCTCTCTGTAGGAACCAAGTAAACGCAGCAAACCATCGGCTTTAAGACGCACTCTGCAAGCTCTGCGCCAGCGTCTGACTAAAAGGAATCGCCCCAAACCGCCGGATTGGTTTCTTGAGAAATTCTCCAATGCCACCAATACGGACAAGATTGGCAAGGGTTGTCCGGCGATGGAGGATGCGGCGCTATCCAGCGAAATTCGTGGCTCCAGTGTCCTGTGCAACCGATTGTCCGTGGATCCCACACTTCAGTCGCATTACAGGGTGAGTGAACTTTGGAACTCTTTTTGGTGATTAATGATTAATTAAATATTAATATTATTGGTATAAGATAAGGAAAAATTGGTAATAAAACGATTAGCTTAAAATGTACAGCCTGAAAGTATGCACCAACATATGTACGTTTTAAAGAAGTCAGACTCTAGAGGAGTCATGCCTTGCAAACACATTAATTGTTGATTTATAACTCTTTATGGATAATCTTAATAAGGAAAAGCAATGATTACATTTCCTTCCAGTGGCTTGCCATCGTATCCCTTGCTGTCCTCTACAATATCATCTTTGTGGTGGGACGTGCGGTCTTCTGGGAGATCAATAAAAGTGCTCCGGCCGTGTGGTACACACTGGACTACCTGTGCGACTTCATCTATCTGCTGGATACGCTCGTCCACATGCACGAGGGTGAGCCAATGACATCCATATCCACATATCCACCATTCCCCACGTTCGTAGTTCCCCTCTACCCGTTTCGGGTTTCACAGATTTGAGATTTACCTATGCAAATGAGGACCCGCACTAAGCCGCCTTCAGACAATGGCAAGCGATGCTGTCGGCAAAGCCATTTGGCACGCATGCGAATCCCATTTCTGTCCATGAATCCACATACATATGCGCGTCCTGTGAGCTCTGGATTGTGGGTGTGGTTGAGTTGCCAAATGCAGGGGATAAGCCAACCTTGACATTTTGTACAATAGCAACAAACGTTCTGCTACCGCTTAGCTATGTTGGAGTATGGTATTATTCATTTTCTTAAGGGCAATGTGAAAGACTGAACTGGGACTTAATATATTATGGTACAAAAATATGAGTGAAAGAAGTTAGTTGTGTTAAAAATTTTTAAGATTATGGGAAAATCTGAATCAAATTATAGGTCTCACCAGCTTAGCATGGAAGTAAAAGATAAACTTTATGATAGAATAACAATATATTCCTTAGAGTATATGAAATGTAGGGAAACTTTTCTAGCAACATCCTAGATAAGAACCAAAGTAACGATTGACAGACAGCGTAACTTTCAGAAAACGTGCATCTTGCGACATCCCTGGGTACTGCTATCCCCATGCATGCCTTCAAACCGTTAAAAATCCAAAGAACTATAAAAAAACAGTCGCCGCATGGCGCAGGCAAAAGGCACGGCACTGAGACAATGGTAGAGTCACCACCCGGAGCAAATCTCTAGGTCACCACCTCACAAGCCACAAAAACTAAATCCCATTGTTTCCGCTCTTATGCTCCACAGGATTTCTGGACCAGGGGCTCCTCGTGCGCGATGCCTTTCGGCTACGCAGGCACTACTTCCACACTAAGGGCTGGTATCTGGACGTTTTGTCAATGCTGCCCACGGACTTGGCCTATATCTGGTGGCCACCGGAAACGTGTTCCAGTCTATATCTTCCATGTCCCGTGATAGTGCGTCTGAATCGACTGCTCCGGATCAATCGACTGTGGGAGTGGTTCGATCGAACGGAGACGGCCACTGGATATCCCAATGCCTTCCGCATCTGCAAAGTGGTGCTAGCCATTCTGGTACTGATCCATTGGAATGCCTGCATGTACTTTGCCATCAGCTATGAGATTGGATTCAGCTCCGACTCTTGGGTGTACAATCTAAATGGAACAAGGAATAATACCCTGCAGAGGCAGTACATCTATAGTTTCTACTGGTCAACGCTGACACTGACCACCATTGGAGAAACTCCAACGCCGGAGAACGATGTGGAGTATCTGTTTGTGGTGGCCGATTTCCTGGCCGGCGTCCTTATCTTTGCCACCATTGTGGGTGAGTAGGTTAGCAGCAGCAGCAGTAGGGCGACAACCTAGAAAATCCCTTTTGGGTCCTCTGTTTACGCTTGTTTACGCAAATATTTCGTCTGATCGTTTAATTGGTTCCAGAGTGACATCTGTGACATCAATGGGTATTAATTTACAGCCACGCACGTCAGGGACCCACACGTACACCCTGCCCTGCCCCGCCTCTTAACCGCCCACCGACCCACATTATTCATTACGCCTTCAGTTCTGTTCTGTCCTATTCGGTTCCATGCCATTTTGTTTTGTTTTGTCGGGTTGATTTGTTGCCGTCTCTTCTCTTCTCTTTTTTTTTTTTTGGCAAACGTGCCTTTTTATCATTTTTGTCGCCCTCCTTATCGCTGCCATTACCGTTCCCAAATGGGTGGCATTGGCAATGGCAAGGAGTAAGGCACATTCCCGCATTCCCAACAGCTGCCAGACTCCCTAGATCCCATCATTCCGCTGCCTCATCCTCGACCTCGCTCTGCAAACAAATTTACTTACTGTGATGAATGCCGAGTTCGTTTGGACAGGACAATTTGACGGGCACACACTCGGAAAAACAAAGAAAGAATCATTAGAAATATTCCAGGAAATGACACACAGGATAGTGTACATTAAGACTTATTTTCAATGTTAATTCGAATACTTAGAAATGCATGTGGAGGAAATGTAGGATGTGGGATTTCTAAGAAAAAGAATCTTCGGTTTCTTGGAAATTTCCAGTTAAAAGTTAAAAAAAATATTCATAGTGCCTGGAAGTATGCTTTAAAATATTCATTATTATGATTTTTGTTTGGTAAGCCAGTTTAGAGCACATGATTTCGTTTTTTAACAGCCACCTTATGTTACCATCTTTACCATCCTCATTCTTTTAACAAGATTTATGCCAAAGATAAATCAGACTCGATTCATTATAACCTTGAAGTCTGGAAAGTTAGGTTTAATTTTTCACGAACGCAAATCGCTAGCAAGGGAACCACAAGTTTGGGATATATTTTTTGCTAAGTGCCCCGAGGCATCTCCGCCATTTCGCCAAACTGTCTATGTGTGTGTGTGTTTGACTCTGGCACCGGAAGTGCCGCCATTAGTCGCCTTTGTGCCACATTATCCGAACGCCGAAATCCATGAGTGGCATGGAACATTGCCAGCTTCGGTTTCATTGTGCTCAAGTGGGTGGGCGAACCGGTTATGAAATGGCCAAGATGAATTGCCGCCCGTTCATTAACTAAGTTTCCCCTGTCTTTGCCCCCACCACCAGGTAACATTGGCTCCATGATCTCCAACATGAATGTGGCACGCGTGGAATTCCAGAATCGCATGGATGGTGTCAAACAGTACATGGCCTTCCGGAGAGTGGGTCACGAACTGGAGGCCAGGGTCATTCGATGGTTTGCCTACACGTGGTCGCAAAGTGGAGCGCTGGACGAGGAGCGAGTGCTGGCTGCCTTGCCGGATAAGCTGAAGGCTGAGATTGCCATCCAGGTGCACATGGATACGCTGAAGCAGGTGCGAATCTTCCATGACACAGAACCCGGTCTCCTCGAGGCTCTAGTGCTGAAACTCAAGCTCCAAGTGTTCAGTCCGGGCGATTACATTTGCCGAAAGGGTGACGTCGGCAAGGAGATGTATATCGTGAAGCGGGGAAAGCTCTCCGTTGTCGGAGATGATGGCATCACCGTGCTGGCCACCTTGGGTGCCGGATCTGTGTTCGGTGAGGTTTCCGTGCTGGAGATTGCTGGCAATCGAACAGGAAATCGACGAACCGCCAACGTGAGATCTTTGGGTTACTCGGATCTCTTTTGCCTGGCGAAAAGGGACTTGTGGGAGACTCTGTCCGATTATCCGGAGGCCAGATCCACGCTCACTCAGCGAGGATGCCAGCTGCTGCGGAAAGATGGCTTATTGGATGAGCAGATTTTCGCGGGTAAGTTACATTTTTATATAATTATTTAATAAAGTGATTAATAATTCATTAAATTGCAGATTCCCAGAGGGTACACGATAGCATTGAGGGCGGCATTGAGAAGCTGGAGCTTTCGGTGGAGAACCTCAACATGCGACTGGCACGTCTTCTAGCGGAGTACACAGCTAGTCAGGCCAAGATCAAGCAACGCCTGGCCAAGCTGGAGATGAAGTGAGTATCCTTGTAGTGCTGTTTCCCTTGGAGTACCTAAAACTAAAACCCTAACCCCATCCTTGAACCTCCCCTTTTAGTGGCGGCCCTGGCACGTGGCGACTGGAGTGTGAGCCACAGACTCGGGTACGCAGCGGACGCCTCTATTCGCTGCAGCCCAAGCGGCGCCCACGTTCGCGACCCGACGCGACTGCCAAAAGCGGCGATGCTGCCAAGCAGAACACGCTCTAAGTCCCCGGAAAACCCGCTGCGAAAATCCCCGGTCCCCAGTTACCCCCTCCCCACCAATCCTCATCTATCCACCCGAGGCCGGAAAATAGTGATAAATGCATTAAACTTGCAGGAGCTGTCTGGGCGGGGGGATAAACCCCCTTTGGCCCCAAGCCAACTGTTATTTTGGGCTGCAAAAGCGAGTAAATCAATTTTTAATTTTTACAATTAGTTAGTAGCGAAGGAGGACAGGAGGAGAGGGGCGGTGGGGTAAAGGGGAGTTGTTTGTTCCAAACTTTATAAATTTGTAAAATGATTCAAAAACTGAATGTGCCTCAAAAGTGTGTGTGTGCGTGTGTAAAGCTAAGTTAAGTAAAGCGAAAGGGGGAAAGGGAATAGCAAACGATGACGGCGGTGGTGAACCATCTAGTTAACCCACTACGATCCAATGTACATAATTTAAGCATAGTCCAATTTTACACGTGAACTGAAATTGGTTCGCCTAGGCTAGGAAAAGATTTTACAAACATTAACCGAAAATTTCGATTAATAATCAAACAAAATCAAAGAAAAAAATTATACAGAAACCATAAAGAATCAAATCACATCAAATTGACCAAGAAACCGGTGGACATTGCTGAAATACTTACGAGGAGGGTTAGAAGGATGATGGCTGATGATGCACACAAAATCGAATTCGAAGAAAGAAAATGTTAACAACCAAGCTTCCAAAGCTTCCAAACAAAAATGCAAAACAAAAAAAAGTCAACAAAAACAAAATTGGTGGAAAAATCAAATGAAATGTATTTTTATATTAGTCCTAGACATTGAGTGTACGATGTATTGTCTATGTGTAAGTAAAGCTAAAGCTACAGAATAAACGAGAATCGAGTAAAATTATACGCAGCACTTATGTCAGCGAAAACGTATCCGGCGCAAGTGTTTCCAGGCGGCTGGCAAATGCAAATCGCCCACAGCCTCCGGCCACGCGTTCTCTCCAAAGGATTCTTTAGCAGGATTCGTTTTACTGGCTCTAATGACATCTTCGAGGGCGTAGACAACAAAAAACGAAATAAAAAATACAAAAATAAAAAAAAAAACTGAAGAAAGGAGAAAGTAGAAGGGAACTGTGTACGAGCAACAACAACAAAGTCAATAAATGCAGACGCATTGGGGAAAATGACAGCGAACACGCGTTGGCTTTTTAGGTGCGACTTTCTTTGTGCGTACAACGCGCCGTATGAGCAATAGCAACGCCAGAGCTAAAAAGGTAAAATGGGGTAGCAGAGGGTTGTCGCATGAGCGGATTGCGGGGTGACTTTACACAGGAACTTATGGTAAAATAATTAATGTAAATTTGAACTTAACGCAACGAACTATTAACTTTTTTTTCACAGATCTAAAATAGATTTTGTTCATTGTTTGGTAATCAGAAAGAAAAAGTGATTGGTTTTCCATTCAACCATTAGAATATTTATGATTATTAATAAACATTTAAAAAGTTCTCGCTGTGTACCAGAGCCACGGAACCATGTGGAGCCATGTGGAACCCCAAAACGGTCGCATCATGCCGTAAGTGCAGTAAAAAATCAATTTTGACAAAATGTTGAAAAACACACTCAGAGCCTTAAAAGAAATGGGGAAGTTGGGCCCCTTGAAAATCACTTGGGCGGCGGGTTACAAAGGAGGCGTGGCACGTGAACGGAACCGAATTTCGGTGAAGAGGCCGCGGGGCGCTGGAAAATGACTGACAATAAAATGTTGACGCAGCCAAAGAGCATTATGGATACAGGGTGCTTGAAGGCGATTGGATTAAGTCGATAAGTCGATGATGGTTGGGGTTCTAAAATAACCCCCTCCATGATGAAAAACACAATAACACTGGCAATACCTGCTGGTCTTTGCTTTATTAAAGCCTGACGTTCTTCTTCACATATAGCTTAAGCTGATTGATGTCGAGGGTTTTTCAATTCACACATCTGCATAAAATAAGTCCTAATGTGTTTGGGGGCGGTGGTGGTTTTCATGTTGGTTTTAAGTTTATGGGAAATGAGTGAGTGTGCAAGTTCCATTCAAAGATTTCTGCGGTGGAATAATTCTGGTTAATAAAGTGAGAAGTTAATGCCATCTGAAAATATTCATATTGTTTGGTGTTTAATTTGAAGAATATTAAGGAGACTTTGAGGGCTACATAAATTTAGTTTTTATTTTTCCATCATACATCCATCTATCTATCTATTTAAGAAGGCTTTGATTGTTTGATGTCAAATGTGATTTATTTTTACCCGCTTGGCATTTGATACGAGCATTTTCATAGATAGAATAGGCCTAGAAATAATAAGTAAATCTAGTCATGTCCCAGGGAAGTCCACAACCCAGTGATATGCAGTCCCTGCGCTGTCTGCACTGTATGAAGGTAATCCGCTGTTCCCGCTACGATACCAGTGAGCTGGTGCGTCACATCGAGAAGGATCACCCGGAGATCTACGCTGTAACCTCCGATAAGATCAAGAATTTGCACAAGCTGGCCGCGGACCACGGCATTAGCGAGGAGCGCCTCTCGAAGATTAGCAAGATGACGGGTCTTTCGGAGTCCCAAATGGCCGAGGAGGCGGAAAAGTGTAGGTTTCCCATAGAATGTAATTTAGTAGAATTTTTAATTTTATCTTTAAAAATAGATATGGCCAAGAAGAAAAGTTCTGGGCGAGGTTCCGGTGCTGGAGAGCCTTCAGGATGCAGTGCAGCATCCTCGAAGTCGGGAAAGTCTGGTTGTCCCTGTCCATGTCCACCTGTTTTGGACAAAGCGATGGCACATCGTCGAAACAGCTATCGGACGTCCATCGAGCGTTGGGCTCCGGCGGAGGGACGCATTTTCTGTCCATGTTGCGCATCCAATAAGCGTCCACTGATCAAGGCCGCTTCGGAGATTACGGACAACGGATGCTGTGTGGCCTGGGTGGTATCTTGCTGGCCCCTGTGCTTCCTGCCCTGCCTGATGTCGTCGGATAATAAGGAATACCTATACTGCTCTAACTGCCGCACTTTTCTCGGCATCTATGATCGTGAAAATAGCTGTGTGCAGCCCAGCAAGGAGTTTGTGTCCTGTAGCAAGTCAGTCACGCCTCCGCCCAAAATGCCGCTCCAACCGCCGCACCAAAAATCTTAGATAATCTTTGTACCTTGATATTTTAAATTGTTTGTGTGTATATTTGGCTTATTAACAAAAAAAAACACTTGTCCAAATAATATATTAATATTTAATATTGTAAATTAATTTAAATTTAATTTAAATATTTTGAATTTCTGTTACAAGTATTATAGCAGTTACCCTTTTTCGTTAAAGCTTTGCTATTAAAACGAAGTTTTATAACTCTTAGCTTATTTCTATCATCCAAAAAATAGTAAAATGGCGGGAAAATATATGGTTTTAGTATATCAGGTATTATAAAGCGTTCCCCGTTTGGTCATACTAATTCTGACGCTGGAAAATAGGCTCGATTCGGCTTTTTATGATGGATTTGTCGCCAAACAACCAGATCGAGGACAGAAAACCTATACTAACCGCCGACGGCCTTGTGCAGACATCAAACTCCCCCTTCGAACCGACCATATCGCAGGAGACCCAGACATCCAACGGAATCGGTGGCCAGTGCACGTTGACGGTGGACCAGCTGGACATAGAGATTCTGCCGATAATCTACGACATTGTGCGCTGGTGGGTTGGCATTATGTGTGTTATGGGGCTAATGCCCCTGTTCGGATAATACTGAAAATAGCCGAAATGCGCCAACAAGTGCGCACTTAAAACACGACCTTATATAACCAGGTGTCTTTGTGTCTTTCAGCGTGGAAAAGGATCCTCTGGAGAACGCCGTTAAGCTGCGCGAGTCCCAAGATTGCAATCACAAGGTTAGTTTTTGCGTCATCTAGTTCTCCAAACACTAACTAGTAACTTATATTCCAGATCTTTGAGCTGCAAAAACGCTTTGAATCCGCCCGCGAGCAAATCCGTCAGCTTCCCGGTATCGATTTTAACAAGGAGGAGCAGCAACAGAGACTGGAACTTCTACGAAATCAGCTAAAGCTCAAGCAGCAGTTGATACGCAAGTACAAGGACACAGAGTTCTAGGCAGGCTTGAGGAGCAAGAAAATAAGGCAAGATGGTGCTGCGACTGCTGATGCGCTACTTAGCCAACAACGAGCAGCTCATCCAGCGTATGGCGGAGAGCTACCCCATGAGACGAGCTGCCCAGTTGGTAGTTTCCCTAATGTATCGCACCAAGGACTTAGCAAGAGAGCAGGGACTGCACGAAATGACGCCAGAGCGCTTTAAGTATGTCCAGAGCCTTTAAGAAGATTCTCAAGCTAATAGTTTTTCCACGATTCCAGGTCATTCATCAACATGTTCAAGAACAACGTGCGGCAAGAACTGGAGGGAGTCAAGAAAGAACTCAATAGCAAGAAAAAGAACTAAGGGTCTGTTTTCAACTTGGCCAACTCAACCAATTGTAAATAAACGGCAAGATAAATTTTAGTCAATTTTAGTAAACACAGGTGAATAAATTTTGAAGCCGAAGCATTGAAATCCAAATCCTTCAGATTTTCAAGTGGAAAACTTTCTTTATAAAAATGATTAAAATCATCAGTTTGTGGTCAAGAAAATTGCTTTTATTTGAAGAATTTAGAAACTAGTTTCATCTCCAGTGACAATTCTAATCTTAACTCTGAATAACAAATGAAGATGAATTCAGATTGTCATTCTGAAACCATAGTTTTACAAAAGAAAATAAAAAAGGATTTTAATATTTGCATTCACAACGCTTTAAACTTTATATATAACTATTTTTCGTTCTTGTGAATGAATGTTTAGAATTAAATTCATTTTACATTGAAATTTTTGGTCATGACATAAAAAAAACTTAGTTGAAAACTTTTTTTATTTATAAAAGAAAATAAAACTTAGTTTTACGCTTTTCAATTTACAAAGAATGAAAAGAAATCTGAATTGTAAAGTTTTAAAAGGTTTAATCCGGTAATTCAGATGAATGATAAGAAATTAAATTCAAATTCATGCTGCAGTGACATTTGTCTTAAATCTAGAGAACAAAAAGAATATCGAATTCGGTTTGGCATTCCGCACAATGTACAGTGGACGAGAACGGGACACGGAATAATTTATTGGAGCAAGCGCCCCTTCAGATCAGGATTTCGGGCAGAAGAGTAGGAAAAATAATTAGGTTCTGCCAATTCACTTTAAGGATTTCAAAAATACTTTAGCTTAAAAAACTAGAAAGAACAAAATTTGGAGACGGTCTTAGTCTGTGAGCCCCGCCGACGCGGCATCAGCGGAGGATGACGAGGAAATTTCGCCCAGGGGCAGTCCCAAACCGGACGAGCCATTGGATTGGCCTGCACCACCACCAGGCGGAGTCGGCCGGTTATTTCGTTTCCGCTTGCCGCCACGCCGACTGCCGCCCTCGCGCTTGTCACCGTTCTGCTTGTCGTCACCGGCATCCTTACTACATCCCGCTGCCGCCGAGCTGCCCTGGCCCTGCTGGCGGTGCTGATTATTGCTGCCATTGCTGCCGCCGTTCTGGGAACGCGATTGCATCTTGGCGGGCTTGGGGCGATAAGGGGAAGCGGCTGCATTTGGTAGCGGACGTAGGATGTTACCCACCGCCTTAGTGCGTCCCTCACGGAAGACCAGTCGTTGACCAGCGCGTATGTACTCCGGCTGCTTGATGAACCGGAACTTAACGTGTGCCTTGTCGCCAGTTCGCAAACAATCCCGGGACATGTGAATGATGGAGGCCGTCTGTCGGATACTGCCGCAGTGAACCATGGCCTGGTAGCGGGCCGATATCGTCGTCGGATGGTGTAGTACAAGTATCTCACCCTCGAACTCCCAGCAAGCCTGCGGTTTGAGATCCTGTGACACCATCACCATGCCCTTGCGCAGATAGGCGCGCTTGATCTTTTTCAGTGCAAAACTTGCCGTTTGGCCACAGCGCACGCGTGCCACATTCATCCGCTTACGATGGATACTCTTAATGGTGATTGGCACGAATCCACCCACAGCATCTGGACCCAGCATCAGGCCGTCGTTTAGCCGGATAGTGCCCTGAAGACAAGTGCCAGAGACCACTGTGCCAACACCAGGCACCGAATATACATCGTCAATTTGAAACTCGGCAGGCAGACTCTCTGAGCCGGCCATTCGTGTGCTTAACAGGTTAAGGAACATCTTGAGCAGCTCTAGATTATCACCGGTGACATTCGACACCTGGAAAATGGGGCACAGACGCTCGCTAACGAAATTCGTAGCACTCAGCACGACATCGTCGTGCGAACGAACCACTACCGGCACCTTTCGGCAGCCTTGTGATTTGAGCATCTTGAACAGCAGCTTCATGTTGTCCTGCAGAACGTTAGCTGGGCACATGTCAATTTTAGTGACAACCACAAACACGGGCACGGCTAGGGCTAGGGCCAGACCCAGATGCTCTTTGGTCATGCCTATGATGCCAGCGTTTGCACCAATCTGGGGAGAGGAAAACTCGTTTAAGCCCCGCAAAAGATTTCTAAAGCAAAATACTCACCATTAGCATGCCAAAGTCAGGAGCATGTCCTGTCATGCCGAAGACGGTGGTTTTTAGGTAGCGCTCGTGCCCTGCCAGATCGATGAACGTAATTACCTTGGCCGAGTTCTCACAGATCTTTACCCAGTCTAGGTGGCCGTGGTCCGGCTTGTTAACCACATTGCCCACCCCATCAAAGCCAAGAATGTCGTTACCTACAGAGCTCGTACGTCCACTCTCGATTTCGTGCTTGTGGCGGAACAGTCGTTGCCGGGCATGTCCCCGACCATTGTCCAACTCCCCATGAGTGAGCACGCCTAACAGCGTGGATTTGCCAGCGTCCACATTGCCCACAACGGCCACCCTAACGTAAGAAAACACCGTAAGATTCGATTTTCTGGTATTCAAGCGTTATAACTTACCTTATCTCCATAAAGTCAGTTGTCTCGATATGCTTCCGTATAAGAAATTGCGCCGATTGGCCCTTCTCTGCCCGCCGCTCACGCAGTTTCACCACATCCGCATCTATGTTGGCTGCCAGAAGATGTAGCGTCGCTACGGAAGCCTCAAACTGCTCAGGGTTCAGGCCATTGTCGCTGCCATCTGTTTTGAAAATAGACAACGAATTAGTTGAGTTCGTTATAAAGAAGTTTAGGAGGAATGCCTAGAAGAGATTACAAAAGAACTCACCCTCGCCCACGCCAATCTCATAGATGGTCTCCCCACAATTGTCGGCTATGCGATCCTGAAGTCGCTTCTGGAGCAGCTCCAATTGCTCATCGCTGGGCTGAACCAGGACATCCTTAGCCCGGATGCTGGAGTAATCTACACTCATGGCGGCCATCTGCTGCGGCAGTCCATCCACATTAAAGATGTTACTCCGGGCCGTCTTGATGCCGACGCCTACGGCCACGCCCCCTTGCCCACCATTAGGGGCACTCTGTACGTTATTCATAGTGCTAGTAATTATATGTTGCCTCACTGTATCCTTGGAATCATTGGGATCTGTTTGTGAGTATGCAGGTTGATGGTGATGCTTGATGTTTGGTGAGTTCTGCAAAGAATTAGAAAGAAAGTGCATCTGGTTAGATGGGGAAACTCTTGTAGACTGGTTGCAATCCCGACCTAGCCTACGCCCATTTGGCTCAGTTGCGCTTTCGTCTTTTGCCGTGTCTTTACTGTTTGCATCGCGATGATGAAATGAAATTGAAGAAGCCAGCGACGCTACTTTTATAGCAGTCCATGTGGATGATGAAATCCGAAGCTACGCATGGTGCAATATTCGCTCTAGTTGGGTTATTCAAAGAGAGGCAAAACGAAAGAGAGAGGATAGGGAGCAAGGACAGAGATGCCGGAAATCCCCGCATTCTTCAAACATTTACTAAGAAAGCGAAATTAACGTTATCATTCGTTCTTTTGTAACTTTATATGAAGTTTTTACTTGAAAATTTACATATACATAAGTTACTTTTCAATTATGTTGAAAAAAAAAACAAGGAAAGAGCGGGCTTTGCATGATGCAATCTTTGCTCTAATTATGTTCATATTCTAAGAGAAGCTTAAAAAGTAAGAGAAGGGAGCACAGGAAGTGTTCCACGAAATTCACCACTTTAGTATTTCGTTTGAAATTGTAATGACGAATTCTGGAAATAACACTACTACTACTCAGTCCGCAAAATACATTTGTGTGTTGATAAGGTAAAAAAATAAACAACTGTTATTTTTTTTTATAATAACAAAAGTAACGTTTTTTGTACCCACAGCTGCTTAAAAATAAAGTCCAGATTCGAAAAAGTCAAAAATTAAGTAGATACAACACACATAAAAAAGTCTATCTAGGGTTAAGAACAGCTGATGAGTGCTTTGTATTTGTTTATATAATAACGCTTTGTTGACGTATACAAAGCGCAGGTAAATAGCAACAAATGACATTAGTTAGTACGCATTTCTCGCTGTTTATTTATAGGCGGCAAACAAAGAGAGCAGATAAATGCGTATGTATGTGTGCGCCAAACACATATAAATATGTATTGTATATATGTTTGTACATATGTACTTATTTGTATTCTGCAAACCAAAACAAACACAAAATGTACATATTATTGGTCAAATTTGTGGGCTTTTTATGGAATCGGCGGGATATTGGGGAAACTTTATGATTGCCCATTGAGTAACCGAATAAACGAAACAGTAAATCAGCTGAATTACCCTTTGTAGTTGTATGTTGAACTTGGCAATTAAAAGTGAAAGGATATTTAGGAGCACTGGAAATTAAACGAGACTGTTGCTATAGACACTTACAGTTCATATAGCCTTTTGTGCTCCTCTAATCCGTCTGATGTCCACCCCTATTTAAAAACTAAATGTTTTCAAGCGAATTGTACATAATTTGTTTAGCTTTTCTTATAAAATTGTTTTCGAAGCCACGTACCGCGCGGTGTTGCCAGACTGGTTGACTATCGCAAGTCTACTTATCGATATTATTAATACAAATAAAAAATTATGTTTACAGGTGGGAAGCTTTCCTCGGTTTTATTATTTTGATTTGTTTCTTTCATGTTTTTAAAAAATTTTAAATATGTATATTTTGAAATAGGGTTTAAGTTTTAATGCATTACTTCTAAGAACATTACTTTACAAAGAAGTGCAAGTATCCGATTTATTTTCCTGATATAAATTTTTATAGCATTTACAAAAAATATCTTTTTATCGAACTTATGAATATCTAAAGATTAAACTAGTTTCTTCCGTCTTTAAATATATTTTGTATTTTTAAACGTATAAAAGAGTTGTCTTAATTTTATTAATTTTAGAAAAATACAGTTTTATACCAAAATAACAGTATTTTTTGAATTCACTTAACGAGCATCTCTAATTATGAAGGGAGTAGTGAAGCTAAAATCGTTTTCCGGCCATTGTGAAATAAATTGCCTATAAGAAAAGAGGACGCACTTGCTCATAGCTCAGTATTAGAGATATGGAGAGTGAGAATATAGAAAGAAGCACTGGAGAAGGTGCCGAGTCTGCACCAGTGAATGACTCATCGCCGTCGTTGAATATTTTATGTGCAATTTGCAATGAGTTTTTCCGGTCAAACGACATCATCTTCGCAACTTCCAGTTGCGGTCACGTATTCCACAACAACTGCCTGACCCGCTGGTTGTGTAGATCCTCGACATGCCCGCAGTGCAGAGGAGCGTGTTCCCGGAATCGGGTACACAGATTGTACCTGAACTTCTCTGAAGCTCCAGAGTACGATGACATAGAAGTGCCTAAGATGCCTATTGAGTGGTTGCTCATGGATTTGGACAGGAATAGTTTACCGGACGCCCATCTTCCGCCCGAGGGAGCGGTGCAGTGCGGCACCAACGAGGACGGGTTGCCCACTTATGTGGCCCGAGGATACTACTTAGATGATCTTTTACCCTGCATGTATGTGCCGGAAAAGAAGTCCGCCTTCGGTTCGTATTCCTGTAGGGCCCACGTTTTGCAGGATGACGTGGAGATCTTGGTACTAAACGACTGTGACTACAAGTGGGTACCCGGGGAGCATGGAACATATCCTCCAGATGCCCTAAAGACCGGCTACTCCGAGACCAACGAGCCCACGTACACTGGTCGCGGTATTTACGAGGGAATACTGCGTTTGGGTAAGGTGCACCCAAGCCACAAGAGGATGTACATTCCGCATCGTGGTCAGGAGGTCAACGTTGAGACCTATGAAGTTCTTGTGGTCACTCCACGCGACCAAGCCGAGCGATGATGCTGCACAGCGGAATCTCCTTATGCCTTATAATTGTACGATTCTGTGTTATATGTTTGTCTGTTATATTTAAGAAAATATTGTCTCATATTTACATATATTCTAAACCTGCCAGGCAGCGGTTATAAAATTATTATTATGTAATAATTGTGTATTTTCCCAAAAAATTTTATATTTTTATTATTGTATGTACCAAATACAGTGGATTTAGTTTAAAGTCTTATCACCTAAATTGATAACAAATAATTGATCACTGAAAAAAAAAAAGAATTCATATCATGAATTATTCATTTTTATTCCATAGCAATTGAAAATATTAGGCCTCAAGTTTAAAGTATTGATCTTGCATTAATTATTGCCAAGATTTTTGCTTTTTCATTATGTTACAAAATTAAGTACGATAAATGTTTTTAAAAACGTATTACATTTTTCAAACTATTCTTACTCTCTATTTTAATTCAATGGCAACTATTTAAATAAACGCCTAATCTTGTGGGTTGACCGAAAGAACACCTAAAGATTATCTGCTTCTGGTAGTTCCTTCGATAAGAATGGATGTAGGTAAGATATGATGATGCGAAGTTTATCTATATAAATAGATTGTCTGCTCGTATTCATTTACTGTGAACCTATCCAAGCATTAACAACCAGCCTCCTGCAATTTACAAATTGGAAATATTTTTGTAATCTATAATGGACGTCAAAGATGGAAAAAAACTATCGTTATCTTTCGGAGTGACATGTGCCATATGCACTGAGTTTTACGCACCATACGATGTGATATATTCTTCAGCCAAATGTGGGCATATTTTCCACAAATCCTGTTTAAGGCGCTGGCTTACTGTTTCCATGACCTGTCCGCAATGCCGAGCGAGTTGTCACAAGGAATCCACATCTAGGATATATTTAAACTTCTGCAATACAGAGGACCTCCAGGATAAGAAGCCTATTCAATGGGTTCCATTGAATTATAACACAAAAAAGCTACCAGAAGGCGTTGTTAGAAGTGGTTTCGATGAGATGGGAAACTCCACATATGTGGCACGGGCATACATGAACGACGATATGTTGCCAGCGGGCTATGTGGCCAGGAACAAATCGGCATTATGTTCCTGGGATTGTCAGGCCTATAAGCTCTGCACCGAATTGGAAGTTTTGGTTCTGGCTGGTTGTGATTATAAATGGGTTGCTGGAACAAAAGGAAGTTACCCGGCAGATGCCCTTCAAACCGGATATACTGAAGATGGGGAAGTCACTTATACAGGACGTGGCCTGTACAAAGGAATCATGCGACTGGGTAAAGTGCATCCATCCCATGGGGTGATGTACTTACCGTATGATGATCTGGAAGTAAATATTTTACACTATGAGGTGCTGGTGGTAATCCCTAGATAAAATAAAATATGTTCAAAGAAAACTTTTTGATATCTTATTAAATCTTCATGTTGTAATTTTTGTTTTATTAAAAATGTGTTAGAAGCTATGTATAATCTGATTAGTGTTTTGAACCTACGCATGTTGTGAACATAAAGATTATGCCTAAACAAAAAGGGTTTACATGTTTACATAAGACTATTCAAATAACTCTACAGTTCATGATTCTAACTGCTAAACGGCTCGTCTTTGTTGTTCCAACAGAGGGCCTCACAAAATATGCTTTAAAAATACGTTTAGCTTGTATAATTCGTTTAATAAATCTGCACTGTAACATGACATTTAATATATATGTATATGTATATATTTAGCTAAAATACAAATTTTTATGCTCAACATGCTTTTTAATATTTAACCAACAGGCTTTTTCTTTTCAATAGAAATAGGATTTATTTTTTTTTTTCTTATTTCTTTTTTTCTTGTTTCATTGACTTTGTACTTAGTTTCTACACAGTTTGTATATATAAATATAAAAATGAGTGTGTGACTGTTCTTTGTGTGGGAGTGTTTATGTGGTGTGTTTGTGTGTGGGACTACATAAGACATTTATATATATTTACAAATTGATTGGATCCGATGTTTAATGCATGCATGTTTGGTTTGTTTGCTAATTGAGCCTGACTTTGAGTTTGATCTGATTTGTGATTGGGCAGAATTGGTTGTTTTAGTTTGACATTTGAGCTCAGTTTAAGACGAAAAACGGTTTACAAACAACTCAGGGAACAACAAAAAAAACTTTGAAAAACATTAAGTTTATGTGGAAGTGGCTGAGGGATGACTCTATAAACTATATTAACTAGTTCACAAAAGTATTCTTATGCCCTGACGACGACCTGCTGGTCTGTCTCATTTCTGGGCTGAAAGATAGTTCATGTACTTGGTGGTCTGCTGAGCATTCCGCACCAGTTCGCTCTCCTCTTTTACAGTGGCTGGCTGCTCCTGGCCATGGCCACCCTGAGCTTGCCAGTTCTCATCGTTTTGCGGCTGATGGATATCCGGTTGGGAGCGGCGTGTGAAGTGGCGATGGCGCTGGTGTTGATGTTGGTGCTGATGTTGTGGTGAAGTCTGCTGGCGGCGATCAAATGAGCTGGATGCCTCGCTGGCCAAACTGCTCTGACTACTGTAGCGCGGGAATCGCGGACCATTGCCGGCTCCATGTGTGGGACTCTGGTTATACCTATAGCCAGCAGACTTATCCATTTGAGACTTTGGCGGTCTTGGCAGTGTGCGTGCCCTCGAGGAGCTGCGACTGTTCGACTCTGGTCCATTGGAGTTGTATGCACAGTTCTCATCCTGGTAGCCGCTGTTTATGGCATTGTTGGAGCGCCGCCAGGTATCACTGTGTATTTTCTGGTGGCCGCCACCCTGGTGTGGCTGCTGCATATGTTGCTGCTGCTGCTGTTGTTGCTTCTGGAATCGTGGCGGTTTATCGTAGGTGTTTCGATTGTTGAACCGGCCACCACGTTTGTAGTTGTTTCCACGTTCGTAGTTACTTATGTAGGACCTCTCGCTGCGATCATCGCGATCTCTCTGATCCCAATTCGAGTTAACGATGCTGTTGTAGTTGCCACCGCCAGTCATGTTGCGTTCAATCCGCTCCTGCGAATGTTTCCTTCTGTCGTGGATGCTGTACAGTCGCAAGTTGCCGCCTCCTTCGCTGCGCACACTGTGATGGTCATCGTCGCAGTTCAAGCTGTATCGTCGCTGCTGGTCCCGCGACCGTCCGTTGCTCTGGTCGCCGTCGTGGTTGCGGTTGAAACGTGTCTTCCGCCAGCTAGGCAGCGGCTTGCTCTCGTCCCTATCCTCGCTGCTGGCCATGGATGGATACTGGTCGGAATTGTTGCTGTTAATGACATATATGGTTATTTTATAAATTTTAAATTGAAAGAATAAAGAACTTAATTTAAAATTAAAAATAATATTAAAGGGCAATGTTTCTGCAGTTTTTTTTGAACTGGAAAATCAGGACTAACCTATTTTATAACATTTTAATAATTAAAATATTATTTCAAGTTTTCAAATCAACACAATAACTAAAGAAACGTTTTAAACAACAATAATAAATATTTAAAATTGATAAATAAACACAAATAGAGTAATTTTCTTTACTTTAAATCAAACTATTGTAATTTGAAATAAAGACTTTGAAGTTTGTAAATTGTGGTTAAAATATTTTCCTTGACTTACTTAAAGGACTTGATTGAATCTTGGAATTTTCTCTAAAAATAAATCGCAATTGAGCTTCAGTTATTTTCTGCTATATGTATAAAAGTTTAATTAATCATCATATGTGTATATTAAATGCCTATAAGCTCATCAAAAGAGTGTTATCAGTGATTACTGAATTATACTTTATGATTGATTATAACAACGCTATACAATGTTTTTTGAACAAATTATTATAAATTAAAATACATACTCTATGCTGGTTGGTTGTTGATTCTGCTGATGGTGTTGTTGTGGTTGGTGTGACTTTAGAGGCCGCGGCACTTGGCGAGGTTGAAAACCGCGACGCCGGTGGCCAAGTGCAATGGAATTGGCAGGATAAGACTGACTTCCAGTCTCTGAATACCTATCATCACCCTGTTCGGTCTCACCATAGCCAATATCGCAGAAAGAGTCCTCGCACACTTGCTCGCTCCATTTCTTTGTGGACGACGGTGGATCAAAGGAATCCTGATCGTGGCCGGAAGTGTTGGCACTGCTGCCATTCTCCGACTGCTGATGCTGAAGCTGTTGCTGCTGCGCCCGACCATCCTCAGAGTGATGGTGATGGTCGGCACCGTTATTGTTGACCCCATCTTCCTCGCCATCCTCGACCACCAAGAAATTAGTGTACATTGCCTCCAGGTCTTGACCGATGTGCTTAAAATGACTGTAGAAAAGGTCCAGAACCATCAGCAGCATGGCCTTCACCTTGGGCGTCAGCGCGGGCTGCATGATCAAATGACGGCGGACGTGAAAGAGAAGCATATCGATCTCCGTCTTATGGCGTTTGCGCATGATCTCTCCATTAAGCGTGATCTGCGACAGCACCAGGCGGGCAATTCGAGTGCCCAGCACAACCGACGTATCGTTCAGCTCACGGGTGAGCAGGTCGAGCAGGGATTCACCCAAAATGGTGATCGGGGCATTGTCCGCCAGTCGCACCCTATGATAGTATTCGCCCAGCAGTGTGATCGAGTTGTACAGTCGGTTCTTGTCGTGCACCCGGTAAGTGTCCGCATTGAGGAAGTTCGTCTCCAAGATCTTGAGCATGGCGCTGCGCACCTTTGTCTCCTTCATGGCCAAAGCGTCAAAGTTGCGCGACGAGAAGAGCAGGGCAAACTTTAGCGCTGTGTCGCCATCACCGAGAGCCTTGTCGTTCAGGTACTCCATGGATTCGCTGTAAGATAATCATATACAAAAGTGTTAGAACACATGATTTGCCTCTTATTACTACTATTCAAGTATAAATGACTAATCGTTTTAATACTAAATAACTGCATGATTTCCGCCTATTTTTAGTACAAGTATCTTATTCTTGTATTTAAATGTGCAAGATCATTTCCTTTTTATAGAAATATTTAAATCATAAGTGCCTTTTTATTGTTATGGTTTTCACCACAACTTGCCTTAACGCCCCCATAGTTATGCCCCCAACTTTCGGTTTGTTATTGTACACATTTATACGATAGGTTCGAAGGCACAGCAGCATTATCTGATAAGCACAAGCCACGAACTATTTGCTCAGCAATTAACTAAAGCATGAGACTGAGAGAATCGGAGGGAAAATATTCACTTTGAAATGATTCGATGGCGACGATGTCTCTCTAGCCGTGATTATTTGTATGAAAAGCTGTAAATTTTTAAGACACGCTGACGTCCAACCAACCTGGTCGCAAACAACGAATTCGTGCACACACATACTTACAGCTACAGTGTGTTTCAAAAATATAATATAATTGTAAAATCCCATTGAATTAAAAATTTTAAGTTTGACTAAAAGAGAAAAAATATAGTAACTACAATAGTCAACAACATTACATACATATATGTATATTAAATAACATTTTGAATTTCATGCTTCAAGGCAATTTGAAACCGTCAGAATGAAATTATTGAATAGAATTAAACTTGTTAAAATGTTGCGCTGAAAGAACTTATCTACAAAGCAAATTTAACGCATAAAATAAATTAACGCTTGAACTTTGAGTGGTGTTTCGGTTTCTGAGGGCAAAATACATAAATTTACAATGAAGTAATCGTAGAAAACGTGTTTCAATTTTTCCAAGCCTTAAAAATGAAACATTCATTTTAACATTTCCAATAAGATAATCATAATCTCCTAAAAGAAATCAATTACTCATTTATATGAAGTCATTAATATAGCTTGGCTTTGCGGTTTGAAATGAGAAGGTTGTAACAAGTTGCGTTATCGGAGGGAGAACCATGGTCTTAAAGATTTAATAATACTTAATAATCTTATACTAACGCAACGCACTGTATGTTTACCGGGTATTTATAAGCGAAAAGAGGTGCCAAACATACACACTACTTATGATATTATTAATCATCAATGGGCAAACGGACGGAACGGAACGGATCGAAACACATACCACAGCATCGACTCGTCGCGCACAATGTTGCAGTAGTCCGTTTCGATGGTCTTGATCTTGGAGTTCAACACGATGCCATCGTCCTGCAGATCGAGGTTTCGCATTAGAGCGATGATGTGGTCGTAGGCACAGCCACCTGTTGGAATTTGGTAAGCGGTGGGGCCTGTGTTTAGAATGTTACACACATCTTGCAAACGCGCCCCCTCGCCAACGCCTCCACCACCACCCTGCGAACTGTGACCACTGTCTACTGCACTATTGTTGTAGCTGCTGTTGCCGTAGGTGGAGTTATTGGTGCTGCTGCCGCCACTGTTGTTGCTGATCATGTTGTTGGCCATTTCCATTTCTCGCCGCGATCTCTGCCGATTGTTGTTGTTATCGCACGGTTGTTTGTCTGCCCCTTCCACACACTTCTGTGCCAGTATTTGTATATGTACGCGTAAGTGTGTGCGCTGGTCGACGGTCCAACAAATAAGAATCAGCGTTGACAAAGGTGTCGAAATGCGCACGCCAAATTAAACACCTTTTCGCCCAGCTTCCGCTTTGGGTGGTAGTGTAGGTAACTCACTGGGACCCACGGTCGATTGGAACACAACTAATGAACGATATTAAATGCAAAAAACTATAACTATTCCTATTTATTATTGCTATTCGACGACTTTTATAGTTGTGTATTAGTGGTGGCACCGATGGCACTGTCGCTGTATCGAAAGCGCACGGTGTGCTTTCTCAAACGGCGCGATTGTGCTAACACCGGTATTGATTAATTCCTTAACGATAAATATTAAATAGCTAGATTTTTAATTTAGATGATATAAAAAAAATAAATAAAATATTGATAGTTTTGAGGAAATATTATTAAACACCTGTTTTTTAACCCCTTTGAACTTTAATCAGTAATTTATGAATTGAATCATTTAATAATCGTAAACAAATACAATACATTAAAAGGCGAAATAAGGATAGAAGTGTAAAGAATAGGTTTTTTTTATAAAAGTTTAAAAATTCTGCCCACGACCACACTACCAAATATGTTAAACATATTTAGATATATATTCAGCTTGAAAATAGTTATCGATCAATTTACTGGTGCGGTGAATTTATATTCACGAGGTGGTGAAATTTGCATCAGTCAGCTGTTTTTCGTTAGGCGCGCAAACTGTGCGGCGTGCGTTTTTGTTGTTGTTTTGTATTAACTGTTTTTATGTAGTTAATTTTGCCGGAAAATGTTGAACTTAAACTGCGTTATATGCGCCGAATTGTTTGGACAGGCCGACGAAGTCTTTGCCACTGTTTGCGGGCATATGTTCCACCACAGTTGCCTCAATCAGTGGCTCGATAGGTAAGCAATTTAATAAAAGACATAGTTACCCAATATTATAATTCTATATCTTGCAGATCGAAAACCTGTCCACAGTGCCGCAATAAGTGTACAACCCGTAACATATTTAGGGTCTACTTTAACCTAGCCAACTTAGATGTTAGCCGTATTGATGTGGGTTCACTTCAGGAGCAACTGGACAACGCGAAGTTGTCCCTGAAAATGGTTGAAAAGGAGCGCAGCAAGGACGAGCAGGCGTTAAAAAATCTGAAAGAAATACAAAAGAAATGCCTGTGAGTCCTTTAAATATATTTTTAAAAAAACTGTACTAACTCTTTCTTTGTTTGCTAGAAAAACGGTAGCTGGCCTGGAGCAGAAAGTTCAGAAGAAAGATTTTCTCATCAGCAGCTATGCAGAACAGATTAGCGTTCTAAAGAACGATGTAAATGTCGTGGATGCGTTGCGCAAGGAGAACAAATCCCTGAAAGCGCAGATCCAGGGCATGGAGGGAGTTTCGGCCATTCTGGCGGCTGGCTCGGCGGATGCCGAGCGCCTGCTCAAGAACGAGTCCGATCCTCATGTACTGGCCAATTGGGTGTCGACGCTTAAGCGGGAGCTACGTCAGTGCGAAAGCAAGAAAACAGAGCTCCGAAATGTGGTAAAACTGGTGCAGAACGATCTGCGTAAGGAGATCGAACTGAAACGGTATGTCCACTAAAGACTATATGCTTACTTCATTATTAATATCGGTTTTTTTCATTACAGCAAGCTAGAGGAGCGTGTTTCCCACCTTGAGAGCGATCTTTACCAGGCACAAGAGAAGGTGAGCACGACTTACTTTCACCCAATCCAATTTTCATTCAGTGTTTCCTTTTCAGCTTCAAGGCTTAGAAAGTAAGACCATCAATTTGGACTCTCCCAACGGATCGTATGGTCTTAATAGCAACATATTAGCTCTTAAACGAGAGGAAAGGCGTACCACCATATCACCTACAATAGTGAGTAGTTACACACATAAGGAAATAGCACTAATTTATATTTCTCAACCCCGCAGAAAGAAAATATCAAGCGCATTGAAGAGTCCACCTCTCCGTACCTTAACATCAAATCCAGCAGCGTTGGCTTGGCGCATCTTCTTAATACCAAGGGTAACATAGGACTGGCCAAGTCAAAAATATCACCCATAAAGGGAGTTGGCGGTGTGAGTATGACCAGCGGAACAATACGTAAAACCAGTAGTGATCTCAGTGAAAAGGTAAGAGTATGAAGATAATCAAATGCGATTAAGCTAATAATATAAATTTCCGCAGTACTCAATCTTTAAAAAGCCGCGCTTGCTGCTGGGCAGTTCGAGCAGCACTGGCTTAGCGGCCACCACGGGTTCAAACTTTGTATTCAATGGAATGGGCGGCTCTGAGAAGGTCGATCCCTTCGCACAGCGCGCCGAAGAAGATGGTTTGACCGGAAGCAAACCACCAGTAGCCCTTTCCCGCAATCTCAACCAGCGCCTTAAATCCGGTTCCTTGCGCAACTTTAACCTGGGCAAATAAGTCCACACTCATGTGATTATAAGAGACTTCCCATATGGGTATTAGCGTGCTATTGCTATTGAGAATTGCCGATTTTGTTAGATAGCCAATGCATGAATTAGGCACTAGTAATAAGTTAGCAGTAAATATATAAAAATACAAAAGGCAAATGTGCGATTAGGCGGCAATCTTCTTTTCCGCCGTTCCCGTCCATTCCTCCCGCAGATGAACGCTGCAGCCGAGATCGCGCAATGCCGCCTTAATGTCCTGCTCAACGCTTGGGTGGTCCTTCATTGCCGTATTAAGTAGATCCTCGACGCCGAAGGATATCCAGGTTTCACATTGGTTTCGCGATCTCGACACCATGTTTCGAATGGCCCAGGCTCCGTTCCTCTGGACGATTTTGTGCTTGGGATGGGCGCGTAGAGCCTCTACGATCACCTCGGCAATTCCGGTGTCGAAGAAGGCAGCGCTGTGTTCTTGCACTCGGAGTGTCAGCGTAGTCACGCATGCCAGAGCTGCGGCCACGATGTTCTCGTTGGCCTGGTGCGTCTCCAGCAGTTGCTTTATTATAGGAGCTACCCCCTGCTGAACTATGTGTGCCTTCACAGAGTCATGGCCAGCCAAGGCCCGCAGCAACTTCAAGGCCTCTCTATTTAGACGAACTTCATCCACATTCTGGTTCATAATTTCAAAGACGGATTTAAGGCCGCCAGCATCATCGATAGCGGTACAAAGTTCCTGGCGCACAGCTAAAGTTCCAATAGTGAGCAGCAGATCAGCCAGAACATTTGGATCCTGATAGGACGGCAGAAGTTCCACAAGTGTGAGTAACACCTCCCCAGCTATTTGACGAGCGTGCTCATGGGCGCATCCAAATTCCACGCGGATGTCGTCGTCCAGCACCAGGAAGCGAAACACGGCGGTCAACTCACGAACCAGACGATCCTTACCCTTGCCCAGAAGGGGTTTCATCAGCTTAAGGGCGGGTGTATTCATGATATTCTGGCGATTCATCTCGTGCATAATGCATGCCTTCTGCAGCCACTGAAGAGTCAGCAGTGTGATATCCTGATTTTCTACTTTGAGGGCGAGTAATTTAAGTACCACAGCCATGGCTTCGGCATCAAACAGATCCGGCTGCTTGTTGGTTAGGCTGTTGACAGCCTCCAGAGACTTTTTAATCAGCGATTCATTAGGTGAATCCGCGGAGAGGGTTTCCTCCAGAAGTGTGATTAAGACATCGTGTGCTCCATTTTTGCCTGCTAGCACTCGATGGGCCAAGGATTTTTGACATTCAGTATCCAAGGTAGTCAGCTGTTCCAGCAGCTGAGTCGTGCCCTCCGTTTTTTGACCAATGTATTCCTTGATCTTGTCCACAGTTTCGTTGATGATGGGCTGGCCGGTCTGTGGATTGATGGACAGGTCCTTAATGATGTTGGCCAGGTTGATGCCCTGCAAGAAGTTAATTAAAGTGAGTCACCTAAATAACTTAGTAAATCGACTTTACTTACCTGCGCCTCGAATTGCTTTATGGTCTCCTCTTTCGCTTCCGATGGAGTCATGGAGAATTCCACCACATTCTCCTTCACCACATCATCGAAGGTGTCCTGCGATATAACCTTGGCCATGGCAGTAATTCGTTCGATTTTGGCTATATCCTCAACAGCTGCAGGTTTAACTTTTAAATTTTTACTTTGTTCTCTCTGTCTGTAACTTCCTACACAAGCACCCACACACGCACACGCTGACACAGTTCAAATTTGCTGCATGTGGTCACACTATCGTACTTCAGCTGACTAGTTATCGATAGATATCGATGTAGAATTACCGTTGGACTTAATTCACCACAGAACACTCAAAAAAATTTTGTTTACTCAATTCATAAACAAAATCCTGATAGTTCTTTTTTTAATTACATAAGTCTGTATTTTTTCTTTATGATGCTTCACACTGAGTATTACACAATTACAAAGACGGTTAACCGTTAAAGCGCCTAAGAATAGAAGACAAAAAACACCAATACAGAGAGAGTAATACAGCGGGACACCAACGCATGGACATTTAAGGGACAGGGAAAGCGCCTTGTATCTATGGCTACAGCTTCCAGTTTAACAGTAATGCGGCCTAGCCGAAAATTTGGCAGTGGCTTGCCGCTCATTTTCGCTTTGGTAGCTTGTAGTCGGTCGGCGGATGCAGCTTTAGGTGGTCGAGAAAAACCGGCTGCATATCTGCCCGCCATGATATTTCTTCACGAACCCTGACCGGTCCATCCTTGCAGGTCAGCCAGTAGGTGCTCATTAGACCCTTTCCCTAAAATTAAAAAAGTTAAAAAAATAGAAATATAAGAAATTATTTTCATATTGTAAATAGGTTTTTAAAGTCAGAATTCCAATACTAAGATGTTATAAACATGAAAAATATTATCATTGAAAAGTTTTTGTCACAGCTTTGATCTTAGATAATATCAGCGAAGAACACAGTGCGTATGAGTGATTGGTTTATAACTCAGTGATATCAGTGGTATCACTCATACGTATTGTTGATTTCTTGAAGTACCATTATCAATAAGATTTTATAAGCATAATTAAAATATCCTATACCTTGACATCGATGAGACCGCGGTGTTCGGTGCGAAATCCTCCCACCTGCTGCAGCGAGTCGTGCATCTCCTCGGTGATATGTATCTTCTGGGCTTCGCCGGTGCTTTCCATCCGCGAGGCTGTGTTCACCGTGTCGCCGAAGAGACAGTAGCGCGGCATTTTGGTGCCAACGATTCCTGCGACCACTGGACCTGTGTGCACGCCGCATCGGATCTGGACGAATTCGTCACCGGCCCGGGGAATCCGGAAGAGCGACGAAGCATCCAGCAAATCAAGCGCCATTGTTGCTATCTCACTGATGTGCTTGTTCCCTGCGGAGGCAGCGGGTTGGAAAGTTCCATGGCATAAATTACGCGCATGGCCACAAATGAAATTTAAATTAGCGCAAATCTTTTTTGGGGCAGTCTAGCAGTCAAGCAGCGGGGCGTTGTGGAAGGGTAGCTCTAAATGACTGACTGACTGACAGCTGAATTTGCATAAATTACCGTTCTTCACCGGCAGTCCCGATGCCACCATATAAGAGTCTCCAATTGTCTCGACTTTATAGACGTCATAGCACTCGATGCGTTCGTCGAATACCCGGTAAATCGAATTCAGAAAGGTTACTACCTGTGGGATAGATTTATCATTTGAAGAATTAGGATTTGATATCATATCTTAAAATCTTGTCAATCCTTTAATTTTGTGGGTTATATGGTTTTAAATTTAGTAATAATCTTAACATAGATTTTAAATCCCGATATTTCAACATTTATATTATAATATTTACCTCCAGTGGAGTACAATCCGCAGCTATTTCAGTGAAACCCACGATATCGCTGAAGTAAATGGTGACTGCCTCGTAGAGCTCGGCGGGCACCTGTCAGGGAACCAATTAGACCTGCCTAATTCCCACCCACACCCAGGGACTCACCTGCTGGGTCTGTTTCAACTGCATGGCCACACTTGGTGGTAGCATTTGGAATAGCAGCGAGTCGCTTTTCCGCTTCTCTCGCTTTAATTCCTTGGCCTTCTGGGACAGATTCAGGGCATAAAGCTTAAGGAAAGGGAATTTTTAATATGCGACGGTCAAGCAGAATGGCTAGAGTACTACCTGTATTGTCGCAGCGGCATTTTTCACCAGTATAATGATGACTGGTGAGACTAGGAGCACCACCACCAGAATGGCAATGCCAATGGCCTCTTTTCGATCAGCCTCCGCCAGTGTCTTGTCCACATAATCCCTTTAAAGAAGAAGTTTAGTTTACATATCTATATTATACTATAGTTTTCATACTTAATCATCCTACGCAGAGCCTTTTGGAGTATTCTCAAGTCATCGGTATAGTTGTTCATCAGCTCGTAGTACTCAATGGCACTACGTTCATTCGAAATATTAGGATTATTCTTAATCAGAGTTGTTCCCCTATGAAAATATCCAAATATCAAAATTAAAGTTCATAAATTTCTTTAGTTTCACCCACATCTGTTTGGCGCGATGAAACCTCTTGGTGCTGGTGATATTCGTGTACATATTCTTAAGCATGGGTGCATAGTTCAAAGTTGAGTTGATCATCTCACGGGCCATGAACTCGTAGCGCACATAGGACACAAAATTCTCTGCTGTCAAGGATCCTCTTCCATAGTACCTTATACCAAAGGAAGTGGCTATATTTTGACATTCAATGCTCTTGAGAAGGTTCTTGAAGCCCACAAGGTATCTATTAGATTGAAGGGAAAATATCCATAGCAATTTGTAGTTAAGATAAGTTATTCCTAATGATTAAAGTTTATGAACTCTCAACTTACCGCCAAACCCCACTGTTGTCTGTTTCTTTGATTTGCTCATTCAGATGATGAAGCAACCCACGATTGATGGATGTGTACCAGTTCATAACCTCTGTAATAGAGCTCTCTTCGGGCTCTAAACGCACACGATCCCTAAACTCATTTAGACGGCTCTGGAACTCGTATCGATTCAACATCATCTCCCTATCATCTTCATCCTCGTCCGGTGCTGTAGGAACACTGATTTCGCTCCAGGTGGTCATGTTGTTTAGGGCATGATCCGTATTTGCAAATCTCAGTGTAAGGTTGGCTCTGTAAGGTAACAGGATAAGAACTTTCCTTCATTAATCTCTATTAAATATACCTCTGTTTGCTGCCATTGGTAAAGATGTAGAAGGCTACTTCGGAGCGTTCCAACTGTAATCGAGTGACAACTTTCCCCAAGTCAGTGGCTATGGTAACCTAAGATAATAAAATGAATTATGGAAGAAATTGAAGTTCAATGTTATCAAATAATCAAAAGGTTAATATATATCATTATCATAGCAATCAAATTACAAGTTGCAAGATTACACTTTTTTACGCTGTTAAAGTTCTTAAAATCAAAAGGCGATAAAAAGGTTCCAAATATACACATTATTATCTCAAATATTTACAAGGCCAAGTGAAATCATAAGTTCTTTTGGATCCCTTAAAACTTCCTAAGAACCGGTCATTAAATATTTTTACTCATATCAGCTTAGGTGATTACAATGTATATAAGACTTAATAGACTAAAATGATATGTTATCTTTTCTTTGTGTTTATTGCTTAAAAATTACGTATACGACAAGTGGAACAAGAAAATGGCAAACGTGAAAAACAAATAGATAAAATAACTTTCGTTGTTAAATTTGAACAAACAAATGAGTCACACTCCTTAATTGTAAATCAGACAATTATAAATTATTTTACAATATCCAGCATTTGGGGAGTCCCTGTGTAAAAATGAGGGGATTCTCCTTTCCAATCTAGCCCTAGCAGTTAGCCGATCTGTATGCTTTTATGATTATCAACACGTTGTAGTTGATAACAAGAAGATAACGAAACCTAATCAGACACCAAACTTATCGCTGCCCCCAGCTGGTTGGCCATATAAAAGAGCCCAATGGGCCAGGTGTTGGTCAGTTAGTCAAGATGTTGTGGCCTAAGTTTGTTTGCTTTGCACTGGTTGGTCTGGCCTTTGGCCAACTTTATCAAGTAGCCAGTGAAGAGACCATCTCCATTTGCCCCGAAAACTTCACCCAGGTGGCGGATAAATGCCTTTTAGTGGACAACAAGTGGAAGAACTTTTACGAATCGGATCGTCACTGTCGATCTCTCAACGCTGAACTTCTGAGCATTAAGAATGTCATTGAGCTTAATGCCATTAACGAATGGCTGCCAAGTATTGCACCATATCAACCAGAGTTCTGGACAGGCGGCAATAAGCTGGGAGTGACCAGAAGTTACGAATACTACTGGCAGAGCACCGGTGAGCTGGCTACTTATCTTCCCTGGAAAGAGGGTCAGCCCACTCCCGCCAGCGGAGATTGCCTCAAACTTCTGGCAAATGTCACCATGACTCCCGAAGAAGCCATTTTGAGTGAACACCGACTGACTGTGGCCAACTGCACTCAATGGGCAGGTCACATCTGCCAGACTCCACTGCAAGTCTTCAAGACCCAGCTGTGTCTTAATACCTCTGCTTTCTTCGAGGCCAGGATTCCTGTTTAATACATTCTTTGGAAATTCTGTTAAATGGTGCTGCTTTTAATAAATCAATATTAGATCATTGTAAATAACTTATTTTGTAATTCTTATACTTAGTTAAGATCTTCAATAAATAGATAAATAGATTCCAGTATAACAAAATAACATGATACCATTTGATAAAATTATTATCTTTACCCCCTATTATAATATTCCTAAAGAAAATTCCATATGATCCGTGTGAATTTATAAGTTATCTTATCATTTGTGATTTAAAAACGATTAGGGACTTTTAAGTTAATATCATTAGATAAAAAATCACATTCCTTGAAAACAATCTAAAAACCAATATCGTTTTCTGAGCATTGAAAAGTTTATTAATCGATGACTTCCTTATTTTTTTCTTTGATTTGTTTATAGTGTGTTTTGCATTCTAACTACGTGACCCTATTCAAGGACCACCCCTTATCCCATTCACTTGTCAACGGCCTCCCATTTTCCCGCTTTCCATCGTTTTCCACCTCCTATCCTTCATTGGCGACTGTCGCTGCATAGTTCGCATTGCGTCCTTATCAATTCACTTTGGGCTCCACCTCCTGCTCCGCCCAAGCCTCCTACCCCCCTAGCTTGTCTCATATAAGTATCTACGTACAATATTTTCCATTCTCTCTTTCATATTTTCCTGCAAAGTCTTGGCATTTGCATTATGGATAGATGAAGTGGGCGGTTAGAAAGAATGAGGCAGAAGGAAGAACCAGTTGAGTGCCTGGCTAGCTCGTGCTCGGGAACCCTTCATGGGGACTTGGCCGGCACTTACCTGAGCAAACAAACATTTTCAAGGTTTCTAGCAATGGTCAAGTGAGCATTGACCAGAGGGTGAATCCTCCCCCTATCATCCACTTGGCGTTTGATTGAATCGCCGTAATAAATTTTAATTACGCTTCAAAGACACAATTTCCGGGTCGCCTGCTTTGTTTTGTTTGCTTCTTTTCATCGACGCAAACACTCACTCCGACAACCACCCACTTTCTAGTCATACCCAATAACACACCCACTTTCTTACCTGCGTCTCGATGTCGGCCACGGCGGAGCGGTACTCCAGAATCTCTTGCAGTGTCACCGATGTTTGCACAATCAATGCCAATATTGGTATAAATGGTAGTATTATCATCTGGAAATGGATTCGCATGTCAATGAGTAAATTCTTTCATACAGTGGGTTTTGGGACTTAAAGAAGTTAAGTTAAAAGTAAGTAAATTATGTTTCGTTTTATATTAATATTATACTTTAAACAGTAAACAGTTTTAAACACACTTAGAATCTGGTATTAAGCATTTTTGTACCACCCCACTAATCATTAGAATTAAATTTAGTTCTAAAATTCCTTTTAGAAAGTTTAAGTTATTAAAATATAACTAAGTTTTCATAAAATAAGAAATCAGAAAATACACTTTACATACTCCTTATCACCACCTTTAACCCACTGTGCCATATATTTTCATTTGCCATCAATATGTGCTCTTCTAGAGGAGCCTAGCCTGGTCCAATCTCAGAGTTATCCGCCGCTGATTGCGAGCGGTAAAGGCAAAGGCAAAGGCAAAGGCGACAACAACAGTCAATGGCAGAAAGGGGGTAAAGGCGGTAAAGGAGGCGTGATTAGTCTTTATCGTGGCCCACTAATCGAGACATTCATTAGACGCACTCTGTGGACGCCGAGGCACGTGACTCTGACCAGTCGTTCTAATTAAGATGCATGCGCTGCCGCTAATTTATGCTGCTCCCCGGATAAGTTTTTCCATCTTTTTTCTTCACACCTGGTAAAGCATTGAAAAGTTGCAAAAAAAAAAAAAAAAAGACAACTCACCTGCATCAGTTGCAGGCGCCGACCTGTTTTTATGGCCGGGTTACGGGCAGCGGCATTGCAACATCTTCCACTGCCGCCATTCGATATATCCTCGGAACTAATCGAGCGCACGGAAATTTTATCGAGCTGCAGATTGTGATGTGTGGGCACCAATAGCAGGCCACCTTCGCCCGATGGGTTAACATTTAGATTATCGGTGGCCATCATTGGGTGATTCGATGGGCAACTACTAATGTCGATCTTAACGCTGGGAGTTGGCTTTCTAATGCTCAAGCCCGCACTGCCACCCGCTGTGACTGAGCAAGGGTCAGGGTTCTCTCCGGACTTGTGCGCTTTTCCATTTAGCATATTGCTGATTGTTCAGGCGAGGATATGGAGTGCCAGTGCCTCATAAACACGATTGCTGCACGGAGAGAAAAATGTCACTTAAAAGGAAGTTCTTTCGGCAAGGTGTCACAAACGGGTTAAAAACTTAACCCAAACGTTAGATGTTATGTTTCAAACTATTAGAAAACAAAACAAACTTTATCAGGGAAAGTTAAACAGTTTAAGCTTTCAAAAACAAGTTAAATTGGATTAAATTTAATTAGATTTTCCCTCAGTGTTTTGGAAGTGCAAATGTCACTGTAAATGCTGACTGTACATAATTGTTGCGTGTTCAATTTGTATCTGATAGTTTCACTCCGGCGACACTTGTTGAGTTTCAATGGGGCCGTAATGAGGAGGACGCGTAGAATAATTGCAAAGAATGGCAGATAAGCACATATGGGTGGCCGGACCACGCCCCCCGCCCATTTCGCTGGCCGCCAAACAAATGCGAGAGGACATGAGGACATGAGGACGTCAAAGGACGACAGAGAACGACAAATTTGATGGATGAGCAGCCAAGCAACCAAGCGTTTCCAACAGAATGAAAGGAGGAGGGTTGGGCGGTCTATAGGAGTTGGGGAACTTAGCAAAGGGGTTGGGGCTTTGAGTTTAATTGAAAGCACATTTGATTGCTGCTCCCCGGGCGGAACGCGTCTTTTCGCCCAGTGTAGTGCCAAAGTAAACAATTTGCGCGATGGCTGTCGTTCTACTTTTTGTATCTATGTAGACACTCATATATCCTACATCCTGTGTTGTTTCCGTTGGTGGGTTTTACTTTTCACACACACTTATCATTGACACATTTATTGATTAAAGTTTTAATTGCCTACACACTTGCTGATAATTAAAGAAAAAAAACAAACAAAAATAATAATGAAAGATATTTAATAAAATTGTATCTTCCACAGCTGCAACTTTTGCTGTCATTTCCAATCAATCGCCCAGCACGCACATAAAAAGTTTCTTTAATTTTTATTACACAAAGCCATCAGCACACATTAAATTCGCACAGAACAATGGCTAAACAAAAATTCAATTATCTATTAGCGACAAGTACGTGGAATGTGTCGTTAGGCTCCGGCTATGTGAGTTTTCCGTACGTGGGAGTTTTTCTCCGTGTTTTCTTTTCCGTTTGCCGTATTTTTCCTTCGTTTTCCGCGATTGAATGCGAGGAGCGCCCAGTGCCAACTGAACTTAAACCTGTTGAGTTTCGTCTGTTTATAGCGAAGGGTCCTGTGGGACCAAGGCCCACCCACTGTCTCTATAGCCCATTCCACAAAGGACTGCGCACACGGGACTCTGTTATCCCGATGTAAACTTTTATAAGCTGTAATCTGTGGCACGCAGTACGGATGGAATTTATGGCTTTCTTACATATTTTGGTTTATTTTTTCGGGGAGAGCCACTGAATTTTTAATGGCCTTAAATTTTATATTAAAATGTTTTAACATTAAATAAATGCTTTTGTGTCTTCTTCTTTAACTTCTGAAATCTCGTTTTTATATGGTAATTAAAAAGGAGATCGCCTTAATGCTTCTTAGATACAAATTATCTTAGGATTATCTCGCATTAGTCGCATTTGGAAGATATATAAAATTTGATGTATATTTTAAAAAAAAATCTTTTTTTTTTAAAAAAGCTTTTTTTAATTTTAGTTTTTAAATTTTTTTTAAATTGGTGTATTTCAAATTATTTTCAATGAAAACTCGTTAAGCCCAATTTATACATATTATCTACATGGGTTTTAACGGTTAGCAAAGACGCCAACCTGGTGTAAAGTCAATGAATGAAATGAGTAAAAGGAAGTTCCTACAACAAAGGATTTGATAAAAAGTGATAGTTATTGAAAAATATATTCAAAAAACATAAAAATCTGAAAATTAATATGTCTTTTAAATAAAAATAATATTTATTTTTTAATAAATAATAATATATTGATCTTCTTTTTTAATTAGAGTAAAAAATTGGATACTTTTTATACACACTTCTTATACCAAATAACATCTTTGTTTTTAAATTTTAAATTTATTAGTGAACAACAAAGTATATAATTTTGTCATAAAGAACTTTTGTTATTTTGTTATGACAAAAACATGTGAAAATATGAATGACTTTTGGAATAAAAAAATTGTTGAAATGGAAGGTAAAAAGATATTACAATATTTTAACTCGTTTTGAAAATTTTGCAACATTTTCCCAACCAATCGAAATAGTAAAAATATTTTAAAAAGATTACACTCCAATCATTTGAATTTATATTATATTTCTCCGGTAAGTCATTAATAGCTCAGAATTCTGCCAGATCGTCCAAGACTTTATTTAGATATCGGGCAGCATAAATCGTACATTGGCAACTCTGAGCATTCTCATTGTCCCGCCTCTTGGGTCCGCGGCCATGAGATCATCCAGCCGAATCGGCATAATGCCCGCCTCGAGCTAGCGACTTTCCAAACGAAAAAAATGAAGAAACAGCCGGGCATTTGCATAACTAGCTGTAAAATTGTTGGAAATTAACAGCGCCGAGCGGTGAGCGGCGAGCGATTGGCTGGAACCGAGGGTTCGAATCGGAATCCGCAAAAGACGGTGATCCGCACGAGGAGATCAAACCTGTTCTAGGCGTTCTGAAGAATACGAAAGAACAAAAAGACAAAAACAAAAAACCGAAAATGAGGAGGCGCTGCTGTTGGTCCCCACCAATGGACCACCTTGACGGCCACCGTCGCAACCCATCTCCATTCTCCTCATATCTCCGGCTCCATTACCATCGCCATATCTCCTCCCGGGGAACACAATTGGATCGGGTAACTTTGAACTGGTCGGTCGGGGTGTCGTCCGCTATGGTGTCCAAATTGATGTTTCAATAAAGCCAATAAATTTATGACTAACGAACCAAGTAAACACCATTCTCCCATGCCGATTGCCCGTTTTCCATTCCGGTTGACAAAAGTCGTTGGTGGCTGCGAAACGGTGGGGAGGGAACTTCGGTGGTAACTCCGATGGAGATGGTCGAAGGTGTAACGGTGACAACGAGTAGGTGTCGCCATTGGTGCCACTATGAATTAATTTGGACAATTTATGAGCCAATCTCGTCGTCCGACAACTGGCTAGGAATGTGTTTAGCGGCCACCACGGTGGTCTGCTTGTCTTTTCGTAAATTGAATTATAATTTGATACCCAGACTCTACGACTCTCCCCAACTCCTCATCTACATAGCTCCAACCATCTGGGGGATCCGATCGCCCTGGCATATATTACCGATTGATCGGGCCACATAAATCTGACACTAGCGACACAATTAGCACGGCCTTTCAGTCCCCCATCTCCAGCCAATCTCCATCCCCCATCCCCCCCATCCTCCATCGCCACTGTAACTGTGACTGCGACTGAGAAGCTGTGACCGTCGAAGCAGCCACCCAAAAGTGACAGCCGCCACAGCAAAATGTACATAAATAGTTCGCATTGCTCTTGGCCCAGCTGCAAGATAATGCGTAGAGTGAGGCAAGGATATATTCGCTATAAGTCGCTGAGGAAATACTCTTAACTCTGTACTCAAGATGCCTTTAAGGTCTGTATTAGGCACAAGAACATCATGTCCTAAAATATCTCGTACTGAAAAGTTCTTATTGATAGAAAGTTATATTATTTCTGATTCTTCTATACTATAATTATAAGCTGTTATAATTTCTTCTGATTAACTTAATCCATTAAGACTTTGTATAAATCTTCGTAAAGTTACTTACTTCTTCTTATGTGATTTCATTGCAGAGAAGAGTTAAGTAGCCGATTAAACTGATTATTTTACTACCCTTTTCTAAAGCCCTTCTCGAATACCAGATACCCTCTGTTAGTGCAACAAGTGACAGCCAAAAAGCCGTGGCAAAAAAACGGAGCTGTTCACATGCCGCCGCCTGGCCATGGACTCTGAAAATGTCTCATTTAAATAACTTGCATGCATTTAGTCATACTTTTTGCCCCAGCCCGGTGCCGGTTCCCCTACCATTCCCTCAGATCCTCTAGTCCTTCTCGCCCATTCCCATCACCTACCCTCCCCCTGCAGCGGACAACAGGCATGCGCCTCTGGGCAGGCAGCGAGAATCAAGCAGCGCATCGCGACGTCAACTTAAGTGGCCAACGGAGGTAGAACAACAATAACAACTTCGAACACAGTTTGGCGATCAGTGTTGCCAATTTGGCTAGTGAGCTTGCAAAACTTTGGGAAGTGCTTTTAAAATCTTTTTTAAATAATTTCTTATTATATGTTTTTAGGATATAAAATATTAAGTTAAAATTGTATTTTAAAAGATATACATTTTTAGAAAAATTGTTTTAAAAAGTTACAAAAAATGTATTTCATTTTGGTATAAACCTTTGATTTCTTTTAAAAATCAGAGATAAATACAAACTTTTAGAAAAATAAAATAATATTTCAATATTAATATATACTTTTTATATTATTAATTTGAAATTTCAATCGTCTATAATATAATGTTAATGTACATATCTAGTAGATAACCGCTTGTTAGCTTAGAAATTATTAAAAGTTGGCATCTCTGTCAGGGATCCTCGGCTCCTTCTCTGGCTTCTTGAGTGTCGAGTATGTAAATCTCCCGACCCGTTGCCATTCCATGGTTGCCAATGCACTCTGCACTTCAGCCAAAGAGCTTTTGTTCTTTTTATTTTATTTATTTTTTATTTTTTATTTGCTGCCGTTGTCGCTGATCGATTTTGTTCACGTCACTTGTGGTTTGCTGTTTGGCTTTCGGTGAACTTTCAATTGTTCTGGAATCGATAAAGTGCTACATGTGTAGGGCCAGACACCTTTATATATATATATCTTGATATATATATATATAACGAATTCTGTGCCTTGTTTAGTTGACAAATTCTCGTTGAGATCTTGCGGATTCGTGTCTGCTTTGAGCTTTTTAATTAATTCAAATGCAATTCGAACTTCATGGCGAGTGATGTTGGGCTGATTG